ACTCCACCAGTCCTGGACTGGAAATTACTCCTCAGCCCCAGGCTGTGGTTACTCACCAGTCCCAGACCGGGATTTCTCTGCCAGTCCCTGACTGGAAATTACTCCACCCAGTCCCCGACTGGTATTAGGCCTACCCTGCCATCTTCTTGCTGGATGTACTCATCAGCCCCAGGCTGTGGTTACTCGCTGGTCCCAGACCGGGATTTAATCGTTATGCTGACATCTTAGTGCTTCTAACACTGGTAGTGCCGGTTCCCCTTCCCGACCTTTGATTAAATATTGCCATGGCTGACGTCGCTTCCCGGAGTGCTGGAGTATACCGAGCCGGTGAGTTACCGCTGACTGGGTGTCCCTGTAAACCTGAACCAACCACAGCGCTTGCTCAGCGGCTCGGTATAATCAGTGGTATATTAAATTGCTATTACTTCATGTTCACTTCAGTTTCGTTAACCCAACTTTGGTCACACACAGATTCTTGTAAAACACCTTGAGCTTGATGGGTGGTTTCAATTTGGAGAAAATATCATTTAAGTTCAAAGGACAAGTGGATTCAGTGATTATATTTTATTTTTCTTAAAATTGTTGGGTATGTTTAGACACTGAAACATGAAGTCTGTGATTAGAAATCGTGCTTGGTTACTTTTTAGACCAGTTTCATTTCATAGGTTAGGCAAAGGGCAAAAAGAATGTCCAAGACCAATGTTTGGATATCAAATTCCTGTTCTCTTCCACAGAAGAATGCAAAAGTACAAGAAATTTGAAATTTCTAATTAGAATGATAATTATTATTAAAATTGAGCAAACCTTCGATTTAAAATCAAATCTTGCAAGAGGCCTACATATGTTGAAGCATCATATACTTTGTAAAATCCGTTGTTTTGTCATGTTGTATATTTTGGTGCTTTAAATAATATGATTATATTTTTGAACTATGGAGGTAAATAATATGTGATTACTAAATGCAACTATTTTTTAGCTAACAAAGACTTGTCCATGGTACAGGAAAGTATATCATTAGAACCTGCTTTTGAAGACTTATCGTTCAAAGTTACTTGGATTTAATAATTTCATGACAAAATTCGGATGTTCAGAGTTTTAGCTGTGTATTTGATTTTGAGGATTGTGCTGTTCTGTTTCTTTTTTTTTTTATTTTTCTGCACAATCTACACATTTTAAGTTGAGCCAAATATATGAATTACCTCAGTTTATTGAATAAGATTTGCATCAAATATTTTCTTTTACTGTAAAAGGCACTTTTATGGCAAATTTATGATTAAACTGCGTCAGGCCTATTTTCAGTGAAATTTCCAATGTCATTGTATTTCTTATAAATGATAACTATGAAGGTGATCCTTATGCCCCATGTCACCCTTTGAATTCTTGACATAATCGGCTTATATGTATGCCACGGTTCATTTAGTCATTCCAATGTGCCCCCCCATTTCAACCTAGTTAATATCCGTGTACTCGCTAAGTTTATCCCAGTCATTGGTGCAAAGTGCATTTATTCTTTCATCCACTCGGACTCGATCTTTATAATATTTGATTTGAGAAGACTACAAGCAGAAAAAAACTTCTTAGGATGATGTAGGCGTGCGTCCACCCTTCCCCCCCTTTATATTTTCTATCCCGAACCTCGGTTCATTTACTGCAGACAGAGTGCTTGTAGCCGTCTCTTTTGTAAACACCTGAACCTTTCATACACGCTACCTTGGCAGACCACTATTACATGTACAAGAACACTGCTTAATACATTTTGTCCCGATTTGCATGTTTTTTTTTAAGTCGACGATTTCGCTCAAGTTTGTCGTGCCAAATCTCGCGGGATTAAACGGGAGTTGGCACCTTAACTGGTGTCCGTTGGTTTTCGACATTGTGCATTGTCAGGGCTGTGATAGGGAAATTGGTGTCGAGTACCAGTCGTCGACCTCGATCCGGTCTCTTTTTCTCCTCGTGGATATCGCCATGAAGGCCCAAGGACAGGTTTGTATTTTCGACGTAATTTTCTGTATTGGGAGTTCCCTTCGAGTATAATTTTTGAAATCTGTATTGAAATACGACATCATAGATTCTATATGTTCTGTTGATTAAATTGTGTTTGATTTAGTAATCTCGCTGTAACAGAAAACAGGCTTAGCAATCATGGCAATCAGCGTAGGCTAATCAGAACACCGCAGCTGGCCTACCAAACTACATGGACATGATGAACTAGGCTAGTATCAGAAACGGTTGCGCCTGCAACCATCAGTTGAGCCCAGTTTTCGGACACAATTTATTGCCAAACGTAGCCCCACTAGTGTGGCACGGACTCTCACTCCCGCTCCATCCTTAGCCACACATCCGTATACGCAATTTCATGTCGGCATTGGCCTACTGAAAATTTTCGGCACACCCACTTACCATCGTGGACGCAATTTCTTTTGCACACAAACATGTGATCCGTGACCTTTCTGCTTTCTAAAAACCCTTTATTGAATGATTTCACTCACGTTATTCAGGTATTTTCCAGTCTTTTTGCCTTTATCTATTCAATCTAACGAGCTCGCTCTCACAGTCGCCATCTTTAAAATAAGGTCGTCGAACATTACGCCACTTGACCCCTAATCTTCTTGAAGGCTGTTCCATGTCAAGACATCTTATACACGGACTGAGCGATAAGATACTACATGTTCCAGTGGGCTCTTCCAAAACTTGGGCAGCAGTTTAGATATGTCTTGACATGGAACAAGTCAATAGGGAGTATGCACACTTAAAGAAAATGGAGATACCATCTTGCTTAAAATAAATTTCAGGTCTGCGAGGTGTTCAGTGTCAGTGCCGGCATCGCCATCAGCCTTGAGTGATATTTTTAACAGCTTTTTCAAGTTGCTGTTTTTTATAATATCTCAAAGAATATAGAAATACAATCAAACTTAGAAATACTTGGGCAACATGACTTCGCCTGCCCAGTTTTTTCAGACAAATCTCATAGGTTTGTTTACAGGGGCATCAAGTGTTTTCCGTATATGGAACTCTTTCTGGCCAAACTTTGTTTTTCGATGTCATCTAGCTTTTTGCAGGAGTGTCTTTGGGGGAAAAGTTCCACATTGGGCCACCACCTTACTTAGACCTCGTCCACACAGTTCATGGGCCGTGACAAAAAAGTAAATTATCCCCCCCCCCCAAAAAAAAACCCCAACTGCCGTCACATGTATGACCATCTAGTCACCAAGTCCCTAAGTTAGATTTACACATTTTAGTAGTTTACAACAAGTCCGTGAGTCACATTAATGCATCTACGAGTATCAACTGTAGGATGCCTCCTCAGACAGCCAGACGTGTGTTGTGACGGTTTCATCGTCGGTCAGCATCAATGGACGTGGTCAGATGATGACAGTTGCGTCAAATTCTGTCAAGTGTGATTTTTGTACTTACAAGCATCGTTGGGGTATATCATGGTTATTTCCGGAACTGTAAGGTTTTACAGAGCTTACAGATAGCAGTGTATATTTGAAGTTTAGTCACTTCGATAGTACAGAGTTTTTCTGCCATCACTTATATTTGTGGCATAGGATTTCACAAAGGCTTTTGGGATAGGTTTGGTGTCAGATGGGGGGTTTGTTTAGCTTGTATCGAATCAAAATATTGAAATTTACAACATGTTTGCTCACCCACACCTCACAAGATCGCAGCGAGTGCTCACTCTCAGTCATGTCAATTGAAAGGTGATCGTTGTCTGCGGTAAGATAGCTTGACCAATTACAGTGCGGCTCCTGTATCTCTCTTTTTATTTTCTGTTCACCCAGAAATGAAAGCCGTATTTCAATTGGTTGAATTGCGCTGTAAACACTACCTGCCCAATTGCATACACATATACTAGATGTGGCATCAATAGGATGCAAAACTAGTGTCTGTTGACGATCAGTTGTTAAGAACCCGTAAAATGCTTGAATTATAATTTTTGTTTTGTTTAGGTTTTTTGGGGTGGAGGGAATAGCACATTTATAAATTGTTTACTTTTCAAACCTGTTTCCATTTTTACCTTCATTTCACTTCTGTGTCTTGCAAACTCACTGTAAGACTACAATAAAAAGATCCAGTCTCATGACCTGTGCACCAAAAGTTTGTGAAAACTAATGGCGCCTCTATGTACATGTACTTGTGGTGAAAACTAAGGCTGTATTTGGTGGGGGAGGGGATAAAACTGCATCCATAACGAAAGAGCCAATCACCAGGCTTCTCACTCACATTTATAGCTGTTTTGAATTAGACTCCAACTGATAACAGCAAATAATTGTTAGGTTACTGCTGTGGTGAAATTTCCATCTGTAAGCAGCGGCCATCTGAGGGACATCCAAATCTGTTGTCTAGAGCTAGGTTTAGGTCTTTGCTCCATTGGAAATGTGTGGAGACGCGTAGACAATAGACCTAGCTGTAGTTCTGGAAGCCCGTTTCGGACATGGCCTAAGTGTTGGAACACTCTGCTAAGAGTAATCGAACAGTCCTTTGAAGTGGTTTTCATTTCAATATCCCAGTGCTCTCTTTGGTCTGTGTTTCAATCCCTTTTCATCTTTCTCTTGTCCAACAGCTGAAGGAGTTTCAGGTGATCGGTCGAGCCCTCCCGACCGACAAGGAGCGCCTGCCGGCGCTCTACAAGATGCGGATCTTCGCGACAGAGGAGGTGTCGGCCAAGTCGCGCTTCTGGTACTTCATCAAGAAGCTGAAGAAGATCAAGAAGACCAAGGGGGAGATCGTCTCCTGCCGGAAGGTAAGAGACCTAGACACGGTCGGTCTTACTTTGGACGGTGAGGCTTTTGACCGCAAGGCCTCAGTCATGTCGATGCTGAATGCTGGAGCCGACTGTTCAAATTGATTGCGAAAAGCTTTCTCTCGCTTGCAGCTTCATGATATGACATGCAGGCCCAGGTGTCAGAAGAGAACTCTGTTTACTCCTGAGGTTTGTTGTTTTGCGGTCATTAACCCCCCTCCCCCAGTCCTCACTCCTTCAAGTTTAATTACAGACACCATCGGAGGTAAAGAGTGAGTTGTCCATTACGGAATACACAGCTTTGCACATCATACGTTGGCTCAAAGAAGCTCATCTCTGCTGGCCAATTCCCAAATGTGCAAATATCAAACAATCGGCTGCTTGTCGCCTTTCAGAACAAACAACTGTGTTCATGGGAGTGAATCAAGTTGCCACAAAACCATTTTTTTTTTTTGATGGGTTAAATTTGTTGTGTAGAAGTGGTAATAACTCGAGGCTCTGTGGTCTAGCCTTTCTGGACATTTTGGTTTAGGCTTTTTTTTAGGTGTTGAATAGCATGTTTTTTGTGCATAAATGTGAAATCGAACCCTGCGTGAAACAAGCATCACTGGATTCCATAGTCCTTGATAAATCTACCAAAGCCAGCAGGTTTGCCAGGATGAGAGATGAGAGAGATAGGATTAAACTGTAAGAATTTGAAGGGTCTGTCAACTGAAATATCCAACTAACCATCCATCATGAACTTTCCTAATCTGCCCCTGAAGTTCTGGGGCAGATCATAACTTGTCTAGCTTTGTTGATGCCAGGGAGGTTCCCAAATCCCCAAAATTCCAACAGTGAGGGCAACCGGCAACAAAGTGATAGGTTTCGAAGCCCACCTGAATGAAGTAACGGATTCCATCTTACTACATGATTTGTAATATTTTGCACATTTGAGGATCTTAAAATAGGGCTTACATGTGGTGTGCACTAGCCCATATTTAGGTACTGGCCTGTTATATCAAATTCAGTTCTGTACTCGGCAGTTCTTTGAAATCGTGCCCCAAGCTGAAATAAAATGTACAGGAGATTGTGTATGTCGACATTACTCCAGATTAATCTTCTTTTTGTTGGGTCACTTCTGTGGCAGATCTACGAGACCAAGCCAACCAAGATCAAGAACTTTGGCATTTGGCTTCGGTACGACTCTCGCAGTGGGACTCATAACATGTACAGGGAATACCGTGACCTGACCACGGCTGGCGCAGTCACTCAATGCTGTGAGTAATGCCATACCTTTGTACATTTCGCTTCTTGAAGTCGTTCCATTTATTTCTCAGAAATTCTGAGTATTCACAAGATCTAAATTAGTTTGAGCCCGAGGGCCATTGTAGAGTTGCAGAGATGGGCTGTACATGTACATGGTTTTGCACAGTCCTTGCCAAGGAATTGTCTTCGTTCCATGTAGTCCATGGAATTCTCTTTGGCCCTTTACATTGTTCTGAAGTGGACCACCAACTCATCTGAGACACTTTCCGAACCTAACGCTGCGACATGTGTTTTGCCATAATGAACACTCTAAGTTGTCTCATCCATGCGCATTGTTTGCACCTAAGAGATAGTGACCGTCAGTAGACCTGAGCCTGTAACTGGCTCTATTCTTGGTCCCCATCCCAACCCTCTGCTCTGACCCTGTCTGTCACAGACCGTGACATGGGAGCTCGTCACCGCGCCCGGGCCTCCTGCATCCAGATCATGAAGGTGGAGACGGTGTCGGCCAAGAAGTGCCGACGGGCCAACATCAAGCAGTTCCATGTAAGTGTCCCTGTCAGAACTATTGTCTATGTTATGTGTGACCCACCATCCCCAAAAGCAGGCTGAAGTAGGTAACTTCATGACCCTAAAATAGTGGAATCTCCACTGTTCAGGTTTTCATGGGCATTTTACAGCTATCACTACTTACTGCAGACAGAATTTCGATTTAACACGGATCACTTTAAAGTGTACCAAAAAGTTGAAGGAGAGGAATTGTCCAACATCACGAATACGGACTTTAGCCTGGTTTGGGGATGGTGGGTCGCATATTTGTCTTGCCAGAGACACCAGGGAAGCTCCCTGAATTCTCCCCTTACACTTCACAGTCGGAACCCATCTCTGTTTGATACCAACACATTTTTTGTCTACGTTCTTGTTAGGATATGTAGTTAACAAGGGCTTGGCTTGTACATTCCTGGACCTGTCAGAATTTCAGGAGACTTCTGTTAAACTGTATCAGAGAATGCATGCCAACCTGGAAAGCATATTTCACAGTATCCTGTGAAAAATAGCTCTGTGAGCAGAAAACTGTGCTGTGAGCAATACGATGGTGTGCTCGCTTATAGTGGCAGGTTTTCTAGGTTTACTCATCTGTTGTAAGGAAATTACTTTGAACTTCCGACCACAGTATGCAGAGTGGAATCCTTACACACTTCTATCTCCCATCTTCGCTCTCCCCTCTATTGCCACAGAACTCCAAGATCAAGTTCCCCTTGACTCACCGTACCCAGCGTACCTTCAGGCCCATCTTCACCACCAGAAGGCCCAACACCTGCTTCAAGTAGACACCCCTTACAGAAGACGTGATAACTGTCCACCTCACGGAGGGGAAAATGGCTCAACAAGATAGGGTCTTGTGGGATCAACTGTAGCCTTACACACCAGCCGTTAAGATTACCTCTCCAATCGAGAGAGGGCATACATGTATATTACAGTGTTTGTGGTGGAATTGGTGAATAAAAGACTTTGAAAGAAATCATCCAATCTATTACGCTGTCTGGCTCCATTGTGTCACTTGGTTCTAGTTGTTCGTCATGGCACTATCTCTTCTTGATTACAAAAAAGGTTGTAACTAGTCCGTAGGGCATTGAACATCATCAAGGCATAGTTGGTTACAACCTCTAGGGTCATTTTACCCTTGTCTTTGCCTCAGTTGTCGTGAGAAATTGTCCCTGTTGACAATTTCATTTCTTTGATTTCCAAGTGTCCCCTTGCCATTTTACAGAGAAAGTGTATATGAGGTGTGGTCATTTGGCATGAAAAAACCTTGTTCTGCCAGCGTGAGTATGCTCAGTGCGCGGGAGTTGCCATGTGGCCACACTTAAAAGACTGATCTCGTGCCGATATTAATTAGTCAGTAATGACTACTGCACTCATTCTGTGCATGTGCAGTTGTAGACAATGTAGTGAGCTGGCTAGAGACTAGAAATTCTCTACAAATTCGGGATAAATCACAGCTTGGAAATTTCTGACAAATCTGTTTATTCATTTTATTCAGATAAATACACGTACATTTACAACCACACTAGCATTTATGTCACACATTTGGTAACACTTAAATGTCAGAGGCACTAAATGGGCAATGTACAAGTTCAAAGCATGGTGCGACCAGCATAATGGTTTCTGACAGACATCCAGCATAGTCTTAATGCAGCCAGGAATTTCCTTGTTTCCGGCAATTTATCAATTGCACCCAGATGAGGTCATTTTGGCTTCAAAAGCTTAGGGGCTTGTCTGGTGTCGCCATGTTGCCAATATGAGTGCAATTCCTCAGAAGAAGCATTCAAAGACATTTTATTCGCATTTAATGTTGACAATACAAAACCACAGAGTTATTTACGTGGGGATGCATGTACCTTTTTGTTTTGTTCTGACCCGACCCAAAAAGCCACAGAAATTATGTGGGGAAAAGGTACAAAAATGTTTGATATCTCAATGGGAACAAAACCTCGGCATACCAACATGCAATCTTAACAGCATCGAACAACTTCAATCATTTTGTTATTAACAGCTACCCGGTATTGTCTGTTTTGGAAAACATAAGACTTGAGTGCCTAAACGTTGACTTGTTACAAACAGGAGGTAGTAATAACAGTGCACTTATTGTCGGCATTCAACTTTACAGTGGATGAAACACAAAACTGAATTACAATGTAATCATTCCCATAACATCCGTGATGGTATGGTCACCAGATCACTTATTTCACTACTTACTGTGAAAACCGGACTTGACAATAGGTGGCAAAATAAGACACCTGGTGACTGGACGATCATGGACATTACATGTCTGTGTAATTAACACATTTGCATTGTTAAGGCAGGAAAACCAAAGGCATTTTAATCTACAACTAACACTTTACACCGGATGGCCAAATCCCGTCCAGACGGCACACTATTACACAACCAAAATATGAGTCAATGCAGCAAACATGGCCCTGAAGAAAAATGCAGATTTGTTAACATTTAGCATTTTACCAGTTGCATTTTTGGACAGTGAAAGTATTTTTGGGCTCAACTGCTCAGTGATCAAGTCTTTCTTTGGTAAATGTGGGAAAACAAAGCTTATCTCCTTTGGTATTGTTTCACTAAGAACCTTTGTCAATCCTAACTCCATGGCTATGCAGAAATCTAATGGCCCATTCTTTGTAAATGTACTCCAGCTATCAAGCAGGCAGGAAACTCATTTGAGGATGGGCCAATTTCCTTGTTCTTTTCCCATCAAATAGTTTCTGCTACTGTCCAAATTGGTAGGAGTGGTCCGCTTAGTAAACATCTGAACGGGAGAATCATCACCACATTGGAATGCACGTAATGTTTGCTGCGATATTAATTTATTGGGTCTATCATAAACTTGAAGCAAATTGGACGTCAACAACACATCCAAGTGAAGTCATAATTTACTTTTAAAATATTTATACAGTGCATGCTAATGGCACATGTTGCTTTAACCCTAACCCCCTAGGGTGTATGTAAAATCGTATTGAAATTGGAGGATGTGGGACTCTTGGGGTTAAAGGTACAATTGGACTATTTCGTCTTGGGAATGAAAACTGTTACCACGTTAAATTACACTGTGTTCACAGCTGATACAAGTCTGTTACATGAATAACACGCAGACCAGAGTCCACATGGTCGGCAGGCACACTGGCCGAAGCATTTCGGACGGTCAGTCTAGAATTCCCTGGTCAGTGGATGGGCCGCAACGTACCCTCGGTTGTCGCACACCTCGTTGGCAATCCTCTCTAAGACAGAATCACCATTGTGGTCTGGTGCTGCAAATGAAAAAAAAAAAAATGATATAAACGTAGCAAAGCTCTGTCTACCCGACGCTCTAAAAAGAGTGTAATATGGCCCTTCAACATGCTTTTACCACCTGTCACTGGATGATGTGTTAACTCACACAATTTGCCTTATTTGTTCTGCGGAGGGTGTGCACACTTGTTTAAGAATTCTTTCTCATTCCCGTGGTTGACGTATTAACGTGTCATGAAATTGTAAGGTTGAAAGATTAACAAAGGAAAAAGCCTGCCCCCAACAGCTGTTTTTGGGGGAAGAAAATCCCACATTATGTGGTTATGTGCCAGTGCGGTATACATGTACATAACCCAACGAGACTGATGATCTCTGATATGAAGGTTCCACAAACAAGTTGACTCTTCTGGCAAACGACTAGAAAATGTGAGTGTGAAGGTGTGTAATGTTCTCACTGGTGACGAGAAAGTCTGGCTTTCAGTTATTTTGGTTTAATTCGAATAAAATGGATACAACGGTTTTTCTGAAGCTTTTTCAAGATAGTTTAACTACGGCCTGGACACTGAATCTCCATAATATTGCACATGTTGAGTGCCATTATCAGATTTCTGTGCCGAGTGGATTCCTCCCACGCTAAGGTGCTAGCGGTTCGTGTTCATTCTGTTGAAATTCAGTTCTGCACCGTTTATTTCACAGGCATGCGCATGGCAGAGTGCATGCAGTCAGAGCCTTTTGCTGGCTCTTACAGGCAAGCCGCACGGTGCCGCCTGCAATTCAAAGCACGAAGTCGGCACCCTGGGAGAGATGACGCAACTCCCATCCTCATCTCACCTAGGGAAATGTCCAAGAAGTTCTTCTGTATCCTCTCCTCGGCCTGCTGGCAGAACGTCTTGGCTATCAGCATCTCATGGTCGCAGTTGCGTAAGCCGATGGTCTTGGATCGGGAAACTCTGGACAGGACCGCCGTCATGGCATACACGTCGATGAGAATGTTGGCTATACGCTTCAAGACCAACTGCTCGTTCATGATTCCCTACAGCACAGAATACACAAGGACCAAAGCTTAACTTTGAAATCTGACACTGCATGCAGGCTAGAAAGTCTTTCAATCATTTTTTTTTTCACCTTAATAGATATTCATTCCCTAATGTTATCCACCTGCTCTAGCACTTGTTACACTTCATGAATCTTATTGACTAACATTCCATTTTAACCATGAAGCAAAAAAAACTCCTGCACTTTAAAACACCAAACGTCAACGGCGGCTTTTTCCCTTTATATTTCTTACCTTCTTGTATTTGGCAAGCAGTGTCTCAACTGTGTAGCCAAACTCGGTGACAAATTTCTCCAATTTCTTGGCTGTGTCCTGCATCAAGAAAAATGTACGCCAAATATAGATTGAAGGTCAAGTCTCAGAGTAGCTCAACACTACGCAGTAGTTTGAAGTTTGATGCCTTCTGATTCAAAACTTTGACAGGTCTTCTTCAGCAGTTCGTGAAACCAAGTGGTTTGATTTGAACCATAAAAAGTGACTGTTAACCATTTTGCACGCAAGGGACCGTTCAGTGGTCGGGTAGCCTGAGTGAAAGAGAATGGATTGACCCCAAGTCTTGGTACCAGATGTTGCTTCACTTGAGAAGTTCTGAGGAGGCACTGAACTGTAAATTGTCTGTTTCAGGGCCTTCACAACTTTTTGCATTCGTTCTTTCCTGTGGTGAGCACTCACGTTGAAAACGGGGTGGACCCCACCGCTGTCGTGGTCCAGCTTGACGTTTCCTTTCTTGATACCCATCTTGTAGAGGGCACGGTCCACGAGAGCCTTGTACACGAAGCCTGGATTCTTGAGGGGGCTCTGCAACTTTCTGGAGATTCCAAGACAAATACGGGAATGAATACCCACTCAAATATGGCATCAATTCTACTGCACGTACAAATGGTTTATCAGTGTCTAGGTAACAAGGTAACTTATCCCTGGAAGCCGTCCATTCTTAGGACAAGCAACAGCCTACTCAAATAAAATGTGATAAAAGCATTCCTTTGTCTTTGTTAATCCCATCACTTTTTACTGATCTTCTGAAAGGACTTGTGGCTCGACCTGCAACATAACTGCTGCTCTGGTATTTACCTTAAACAATTTGAATCATGCACTGACGTGGCTGAACTCCCAGCCAACTTCAAGTCAATTCAGATCCCCCTCACCAGTAAAAGACTGTCAGTGTTAAGGACATTATGCAGTAGATGAATGACTGATTGGAAAGGACAAAGACATTTTGTTCCTGTTCTGAGAAGGCTTCCTTTATCCTTCATTCTCACCAAGTTGTCAGCTATTCAGATAGGCGCTGGAATTTGGTTGCCTTTCTTTTGTTTCTGTACAATTTGCGCCTTGTTAAACTTCTGGCCCAACTGGTCATTGACTCAAATTATGCCAGTGGACAAGTCAAACTTTTCAGGGATATTTTTCCCCTATTTTTTATCCTTTATTCTGTGATTACACTGAAACGTTCACAATAGCTGGAAGCCCCTTCACTTCCACCAAATTTCAGGCCCACTAGTTTTTCTTCATTTGTAGAAATGCTGGGTTTTCTTGGACTCACTTGACCGTCTCTGTCAGTTCCTTGCCTGCCGCCTGCATGCCCGTGAGGGCCACATACATGCGCAGGATCTCGTTGGTGCCTTCGAAGATGAGCAGGATGCGGGCATCGCGCAGGTACCGCTCGTAGGGGTAATCCTTCATGTACCCCAGGCCACCGAGAATCTGGAGGGCCTCGCTTACGTGGGTCCAGCTACCTTCAGAGCTGTAAATCTGTGGCAATCAGCAGAATGGGGACAAGGAGAGAAGACAGCACTGATTGTAAATGGCTACTTGATCTCGGTAAGCCAAGATTTTGCTTACCTTCACCTCAACATGCTCTATAAGCCAATCAGAATTTTGTTTGACCCAAGTTCTAATTTTGCCCACTTCAATCAATACATTATTATCTCTTGTATTATACAGGAATACGTGTTTACAATTTTCACACCCAGGCTCCTTTATCCTTTACTGCCACCATTTAAATTTAGGACGGATTTTCGTAATTTTCCGCAGCCAAAAATGGAACTACACTTGGCTCAAGGGTTGCAACTCCAGGACCGGAACTTGCAAAAATGAGACCTGAAACTGTCCAAACATTTGGACCCCTTCAAAGAATGTGCAAGTAGGAGCAACATCACTCAAACAATAGGGTGGATCTCTGATCTCTGAATGGTCCATCCCAGACCGGGGTCACCGTGGCCTCTGACCTTGACTATAGCGGCTTCTAGGGAGCAGTCCTGGGGTGCTGGTCTGTCCAGCATGCCGGCCGTCAGGTAGGCCATGCTCTCCATGACATAGGCAGTCACCGTCATCTGGGCGATCTTCTCCTTGATCAGACCGAAGTCTCGCAACTTGGTGTTGAACTGCTTGCGCGCGTTGGCGTGTTCTGTCACCATTCCTGAAGAAAAAACACACAAATAACTCTAGGTTCAGGAAGTTGGGTCCATAAGTGGAAACTTTCACCACGTCCAATGTTCCATCCCTCCTCCGTAAACTTCACTGCACTGTCAATCCACCGTCTAATTGTCTTTGAGATGTCCAACTTAATATAGTCTGCACAAGAAGACTCCTTCATATCTCTAGCATCAGCCTCATCAATGCACCCCAGACTACGTGGCCTGGTCCCCAGTTCTCTTCTAACAACTTCTCTCAACCAACAGTCTCTGATATCGACTGCTACATACAAATTTTTGCAAGCGCTGTGTACATAAAGCTTTTGACCAGCATAGTAGGTAACTACAGCCAGTGTTTGTGAAACGTGTCCGCTTGAGTTTGGAATATTCGCATACTCGGTCAAAGGCAGCATTGAATATTCAGAAACCTAAATAGTCAAAACGGAACAGCACCACATCAAAAGGATCCACACTTACCCACCGCCACCTTGAGCATGCCAGCCCCTGAACTTCCCATACTGAAGCGGCCGCTGTTCAGGATGTTCATGGCTACCTTGAATCCTCCGCCAACCTCCCCCAGCACGTTCTCAACGGGGATGGGCGTGTTCTCAAAGTAGACTTCCGTTGCTAGGGGCCAACAACATACACTCAAACCTCTTAAATCGTTTTAACTATTCAGGGGCATCCTTTTTGTTAAACACATGAATCTTGAATATCTCTCATTCGGGAAAAAACCTGTGTAGTATTTCTACCAAAGGGTTTTCAGTTCCTCTTCACTTTGTGTCTTGTAATTTCTGCAAACGTGGCTTTATACTAGTCAGACATATTATTTGCTGTGGGTGTTTCCCCTTTACGATTTGGTAACATACTGTTGGATCCTCGGATGCCGAGCTTGTCCTCCGGTTTCCCGCTGGTCAAACCTCCGAATGCTCTCTCCACAATGAAGGCTGTGATCTTATCCTCCTTGACACCCTGAACGAACGAGGCAAAACGTATCACATCCACTAATTTCCGCACGCACTAGTGTCTTTCTGCACTCATGACTGCGAATCGCTTACAAGATCTTGTATGAAACTGATCTCAGTAAACCAACAAATTTGAAATTAGTCAAACTGCCTTCTGGCCAGGATATTTCATGTAGATGTGCTGAGACAAAGTTCCAATTTAACAATTTTATCAGGTCGGGTTTTTTAAGTAACAGCAGGTGGTGAATGATGGATCTACGAGCTAGATTAATTTTACTGTCTGTTCTGTTAACATCAGCTGGAAGTGCATCCACAACTTCTTTCGACGTAAGGGGCACAGACAGTTCAATACATCTTGGAGAACACACAACGTGCCTTGCTAAAACACAAAAAAAACAGACATTATCCAAATACCTTGTCATTTGTGATTTCTGTTCTGGCAAACACAGTCATGATATCCGCTATTCCACCATTGGAAATCCAGATCTAGGATAAACGAGGGGAAAAGGGTTACCATGAAGCTTGAAGAACGCAACAAGAAGAATCTAATATCACTCTGTGGAGAAAATGGAGCTGGATTTGAGAGAAAAAAGGAAAGAAAGACACAGTCACCTTGCTTCCATTAAGAAGGTAGTGTTTGCCATCTTCACTCAGAGTGGCCGAAGTACGTATTGACGCAGCATCACTCCCACTGAAGGAAAAAGCAACAATGGTCAAAAGCGAATGTAATATGAATGACTGCAAAATGTAAATGGCCTTTAATGACTGGTTTATAGTCAGTCATGCGACTGAAAGATTGTCAAGTGATTGACCGCGAGTGATTGACAGTTGTCACTGAAGGGATGTTAGCGACGTTGTTACAGAGTTCAAACGACTGCCACACCCAAAGATTAAATGTTGCACACTGTGTGCACGAACATCCCACAACTACGAACTACGACTACGAAGCACCCAGATAGGGTTTGGTGCCTGCTGACTATCAGCGTCTGGCCTTCGTCACTGCACAACCAACTATAAACTTTAGAGCTCCATGAACGCCTGAGAGAAGATACTATCTAGCAAAGCACGAATGTATGCTGTACTCTGCACAAACTTCTACGGTCTCTGAATAGGCAACAGGAATTGACGTGTCAAATCGGTCTCTCATCTTTTGGCCGGTGTTGAGAACAATTCAGCAAGGCTGGGCTTGGTAGCAAGGTGGAAAATGACAAAAGGAATGCTTTTTGTTGCCGTTCATTCAAACAGCTTGTGAATTCGAATCAGACCAGAGGTCTTGTGGGGCCCCGTGATGGCCTCCGGGGGTCTCCGCTTCAACACTGCCTGCCGATAGGTCTTCTGGGACTCTGTAGGCTTGAGGCCATGAAGAACACGCACATCATCACACAGAGAGAAGTTCTCAATGTACCCTACCTGGAGGGCTCTGTGAGGGCAAACGCTGCGATGTGTTCCCCTGAAGCCAACTTGGGCAGATACTTTGCCTTCTGTTCGTTGTTACCGAAGATTAAAATTCCCTATGAGGAATGAATAATGATAAAGTATATTCACATCTGCACCCACATCCACCAGACTGGAACTTGAAGCACTTCATTATTACCTTAGATCTTCATGCTTATAACACATTCATAAGACCATCTCATCCCTACCAATGATACACATTTCACTGTCAAAGAATTTATACTTGCTTAACAATAAATTGACCAAAAGGTGGTAACAAAGTAATTTTACAACAAACTCCAATCCCCCAGCTTTGCTTTTATTTATAAGAATAATTTGAATCTACATTTAAATATCCAAGGGTCAATAGAACAATCAGCTGCACACATAGGTAAACACATCTGTGATTGGACAATTCAGTGTTAGGCAAGGTTTAGCCTTGGTCTGTTGAGATTGGGTAATGTTTGTAACGTGGGTGGTTCAACAACAAGGCAAGTGAATGACGACTTTTTGGCCTAGGTCTGTGTCAGTGGCAAATACATGTTTCTGGCCACCTGCCACCAGTAATGAGGTAGCCATAGATTAGGATGGCCGTTTCAGCCACGGCCTCACCTTAAAACCGATAGACTGGTGCGCAGCCAGAGTGACAGCTATTGCACCATCCAAGGCAGTGATTTCAGCTATCCTTGCAAACTCGGTGTTGGACAGTTCAAGACCACCTACAAAAAAAAAACAAACAAACAAGAGGGAAGAAATTAACATCCCCTCCTTCGTTGGTCTATGTTCTGCTTCCATGAATAGGTTGGGCATCATTCAACTACATGGGTCCTTTGTCCTTGATTGTCACACTTAATTTCTTGTTCAATGAAGGACACAGTGAAGACAGCAAAACTGGCAGGAACATTTATTGCTTGGTTGATAGGTAATGTAGGTCACCGTTACAATTGTCCAAGTTCTCTCTCAAAAAAAGTAAAGTTAACGTGAAAGGCTAAGGCCATCTAGCAAACATGGTAGAAAGTCCTTCACAAGTTTATCTCATTCAAGATCCTGGCAGTCAACCCACTCGTAAATGAGTGCGAAAAACAATCCTTCTAAACCTCAGATTTCTAGCACAAAAGAAATGGTGTGCAACTATCACTCATATTATTTCCACAGTGCAAGAGCAAGACCTAACCCGAGCTAGTTTCTTGCCAAGAAATCCTACCATACTCCTGAGGCACTTGCATCCCAAAGAGACCCAAGTCCTTCAAGGTCTGGAGTGTGTCCTCAGGAATCTTGGCCTCCGTGTCCTGCTTCTTGGAATCAACTGGATGCAAATGAAAAGAATTTCTAGTTTCTTTTTCATTTGATCTGCAGATCGACGGCAACTCCACGACAGGTTCATGACATTTTCCTTCAAAAACCAAGACTACAGATCACATCTTTCGGTGAGCCACATCTCATAGCAATACAGATCTCCACTAATCTGACAACTACGAGGGCCTTGTGTGGGCTTTTCACATCCATGTACAAACATTCACATCCCTATTCACATATTCTTGTTTTGCTTCAATTTTTGGGGAGGTGGGAAGTAGGGTTGTCGTATGGAGCATTGCTATCTGAGAGGATATGAAGTTGGATTTGAAGGGATCACTACGTTAGCACCCTATTCCCCCCCCAAAAAAAATCAGCAGAAGTACAAACTACAACGATCACCTTACAGATCAAAACACCCTGTTTACAGAATACATGAAATTGAATGAAATGAGAGGGCCACTTCCGTGAACAAATTAAATCAACAGATTCTGTAGTGGCAGCTTGGGAACTAGACGCTGGCAGCCATACGTACCATCTTCTTTGAAGAACTTCTCAATGGGTTCACACATCTGCGTGATGTCGTTGTATTTCTCCAGGGAGATTTCTGGGTAAGGGAAAACGTCTTCCTGCACAAAGAAGTCAAGTCAAATTCAGAAAACTCAGAAATTAGGGAAACGATGCAGAATTCCGGCACGCTTTGGTGAAATGCTGCAGGTGTTTAAACAAACCAATGAAAAACAAAGAATTCAAGCTCTTTTTTCAATTATTTATATTTTGTGTATAAAATACTTCAGAAAGGAATCAAAGGATTTTTATTCTCTTGACACTTGCAATGCAACAATTGAAGTGATGTTGGCCTCCTCTTCTACAAAGTACACAAACAAATTCTGTGGAACCATTAAAGGCCTACGTCTATCATGTGTTGGTGCCTCCAACCCCCACATAAAGCACCTCCTCTGGCATAAAAGTGCTCCTGCAGGCTCTTGTTTACAATGTCTATGCCTTTTGTGGAGTTTTAAAAAACAAGCATCACTAGGGGGAAATTTCAGAGAAGGCATCCGAGGAGTGTTTCCTTTTTTTCTTCAAGGGGGCACTCTTCAAAATACGTTAACTGTGGCCAAGTTGTGCATAGGTTGTGTCATGGTTGTGTTCACTTCAAAATGCCAAAAGCGGGCCACTTGGGGAGGACTTGCACTGCACTGACTGCAGGCATACAATGCAGGGTCTGTCCCCGACCCCCCCCCTGGCTCTGGCAGTGTTTTTATTCTTTTTATGGGGGGCACCAGCTTTCATTGGTGTGGTTTTTTGGGGGCAAGTTTTTGTTAGCCTTGTTCAATATCCATTCATCCATTTTTTTCAGTGGGGGGCACCCCGAATTTGTGGGGGCATATGCCCCCCTGCCCTCCGTGGCTACACCACTGTGAACAACATTTTTTAGCAGTTTTGTCAAAATTGTCATTCATCCCTGTCAGCTGGTCATTGATTTGCAATGGATCAAAAGTCGATCTTTTTTTTGAGGGACGGGGGTAAAGTAAAAATAAGCGTTGGGCATGTCAGGCCATCATAGCCATGGGTCACATGTCGTACTTTTGTATTTATCCCAGCTATCATTGGGGCTAGCCCAGTGGACGTTGTTTGTACTGCATTGCACCTTAAGTCCTCCTGCCATTGCGAAAGTTTTTCCACCTTTTTTCTCACAGTTTTTACCTGGCAGAGACAGTTCAAATGTCACTCACAAGTGCCTTGTATCCCAAATTCATCACTAAACATGCTAAATATGCTCACGGAAGATGTATTTTGCAAGAAATTTAGTGCAACACCATGCTTCCCATCATAATCCACAAATGATCTAAGTTTGTCTAGTACAAAGCAGTAGAACACATAGTCGCTCTAAATTTCCTGCACAATACGTTGTCTGCAGGCGTGTTAAATTTCAATACAGCATTTATGACATTCAGGATACAGTGCACTTGTGAACAACATTTGATCTGCCTCCCCCAGGGTAAAAATGAGAGAAAAAAGTTGAAAAAAATTCACTTTGGCAGGAGGACTTTTACTAGTGACTTTACACCCTGGACGTCAGCCGTAGTGTAAATGAAGACAACGTCCAACCTGGGCTATAGTTGGAGTGTAGCATCATGAACATATTCTTTCCACAAGCACGACAAGTATAACTACGGCTAGGCCTCCATTCCAGGTGAACGTCAGTCTTCATTTTACATTAAAATGTAATGAAGACATCGTCCAGCGAGGGCTAGCTAGACCTCCAACCTTGTTAAACCGGCCAAGGAATAGGTTCTTGATGAACGCCACGCTAGCGGGCCGACTCGTGTGGAGCAGACGATCCCATCGCCTCGGTCTTGTGTCTTTAGGACTGCCAACCACAACAGTCGCTTGCGGTGATCGGGACAGCAGTTTGGTGTCCAAACATCTCTGAAATCGACTGAAAGGGGTAAAGTTACGGGTGAACATGTTTGAGGTGAACAAGACTGACACCACTTTTCGGCAGAAATATCAGTGGTCTGTGTGTCTGTGTTCAGGTACAAACTGAATTTTGGAGTGACCGTGCGTAGTTTATGCAATTTCAAAGCGCGCCCTCTATTGACACCTACTGGCAAAATAGCTGGAGTGTTGACTCTGTATTTTTGCCATGCCCAAAATTTATCGCTTATCAAAAATGGGAGACTAGTCGGCCGTAGCTGTAACTTAGCTCCGACATAACAATCACCATTTACCAAGAATCGATTAGGGGGGATGTGTTCAAATGACGCCCTCGAAATGACTGCACTAATTTTACACAGTTAACCCAGGCCCGGTGGGATGGGGGGCTTCTGAAAAAAATGAAACAAAACGCCCGGGGAGAGGGGGAATAAAAGGAGGGTGGAGATGACACCAATTTGTTTCAAAAACACCCCGAAATTTACCCCTGCAAAATGTGTTATACTGTCTTTAGAGTGAAAATGTGTGATGGCTCTATTTTCAGTATGAATTTCGTGAAGATGTACCGGGATCAATGACAATGGCAGTAATTAACACATCTCCCACCATGGTGGGAAACTTTGAGACGCTGATGGCAGCAGACGTATCGGTCCTCAGACGTCAGAACCATCTATGAATACTCTAAATTGGTGAAACGACCGTTACATTTGTTCTTACCAAGAGTTTTCAAGTCCCCCATTACTTATTTAAAAATTTGCCTGCGCCATCTCAAGCAATCACCTGTACCGATCAGTTTAATTTCCTAATGTATAGTAGGGCCTATACAGACCAACTACGAACCATCAGCACGCGTACGTGCAATTCACGACATCTTCTGGTCAAATCTGAATTAAAATAAAACTACTTGCAGTGGGCCTATGCGGATCCTACGTAGCCAGCTCATTCGGAATACTCTTATTATCCAATGGATAAGCATACACTCCTCAGGTCACCCGAAGATGTACCGAAGGATAAGGAACAGACTCAGCCCAATTAATTTCATGCTCTGGAAACTAGACATGTATCATGAATTTTTCTTAATTGGGTTTTCCTAACCAAATTAGGAAGAAGAGGTGGAACATGTATCAGCTTCTCAGGAATATCCACTGAATGGGGCTGCTATCTTCGGTAGCCCTATACATTGTTGGCATCAATATTTGCACCAATTCGTTCGACAGTTTCGTTAGCGATTTTCACCGTTCGCTTTGGCAATTTCACCATTCGATATGCCAATTTCGACATCCAGTTCACAGATTCCATCGATTCCATCACTGAACTCGTCATTTCATGGTGCAATTTCACAATTGAATCAGTAATTTCACATTTCCATTTTGCAATTTCACTATTCTATAGTAACATTTTTTGCCATTCCATTCGACAGTTTCAACGTTCTATTCTGCGAAGTCACCTTTCGATTACAACTTAAGTATTCTATTTGGCAGTTTCGCTCTTCAAATCTGCTATTGGCTCTGTTCAGTTATTTAGATGAACTTTTCGATTTTGTAATTTCACGCAGCGGCGATTTCGCCATTGCGTTCTTCAATCTCTCATCTGTTCTTCAGATTTATGCATTAGCCTATGCACAGATTTGTCTTTCCGCCTTGCAAATTCATTATTTCAGTTGTTTAATCGTCCGGTGTGTCGTGAAAGCATTATTCATTTGGCAAAAACACCATTTACTTGATTTTTACTTGTCTCCAAGCATGGGATTCCCTGCGTTTCCACAGTTATCCAATTTTACGCGTGGCCTACTAATACGGACGTTCCACAATAGTGCGCCTCCAAGAGTTTGCAACGCCTTGGCCAATCACAATGCGCGAAATCTGTCGAAATCTGTGGAAAGGGTCACCGACAGATTTCGCACGTTGTGATTGGCCAACGCATTGCAAAAGACCGTACTCGCGGCGGAGTCCCTAATTTCAGTCGTATTCCTGAACGAACAGTACATATATTTGAAACCCGTAATGGGATGGTACCAAGTGATCTTGGGGGTCGGAAGGAAATCGTAGAATATACTCTGGTTCTTTGAATTTAACATTTTCAAATAAATACGTTGGGGAATACGACTGAAATTGGGGACACCGCGAATGCGGTCTATTGTAATTGGCAACCCGTCGTGCCATATATTCTGCTCACTATCGTTCCGCAAAGTTAACATTATTTTAATCCGCGTATACAGATATCTTTATTCTCAGACGTGCCAAGTTCACATTTATTCCCGGAATAGAGATGTGTCTATTGCGCAACAAATATATCTCTATTGCGCAATAGATATAATCTCTTTTGCATAATAGTAATAGGAATAGACATATCTCCATTAGGAATAGAGATAGCTGTATACGCTGATTAAATGTCAACTTTGCGCGCTATAAGGGAGTGAGGCCACGAGACAAGCCCCTAATGAGCCTCGGCCCTCAAGTCGAGTTGCTCGTAGCTCATCATCCCGATCGACTAAGGAATTGAATTCTTCATATACTTTGTGACCCAGACTGGGATAACATGAAAACGGGGAAACTCGATCACCCAAATCACTGGTCTTTTGACAACCAGCTTAGCCACTGTGTTTAGAGCATTCAGTTGCGTATAATATTAAACTCGTCTGATTAAGACAATAGGATGTGATGGTATCCCTGGTGAGACTGCATTGGTTTATCTGATGTCGCATTTTCTCAGTGCTTGCCGAGCTTGTAATCATGTGTGATGCATGTTAAGCGTCACTTGCAACTTACATACGGGGCCCCTAATGGGGTATGGTGGTGGGAACACATTCATTCAAAACAGAAATGAGTTCTCCATTTCGTGTGCTCTTAATCAAGCTTCGTGCTCACATCGTTTTGAACACTCTCGTAATTGAAAAGTGCTCGAAATAATTTATTTCTCGGGTACTCGAAACCCTTTCGTGAGCTCTAAATAACTCATTTAGTTAGTTGGTTTCGTCATTATGAAATTAACGAATAACAAATGTTTTGGGTTATACATTATTTTTATGACTATGTTTTCCTTTTGCATACTTTAATTCTACTGATAAGCAGTGTTCCAGCGGTGAACCTTTGATCTGTTGCCTATTCCTTTTGTCAAATAGCCTGCTGTTTCCCCAGTTTATCTTTAATGTTCCCGCATGCTTACCTAGAGGATAACATGGTGCTCTTTGTATTCACTCTCTAATCTGTAACAAGTGCACACCAGTGTATGTGTGTACACTCCCATAAATTTTACAGGAGATCAGTAGGATGCTGGGACCTTAATCCCTAGTTGTTGTTCATACATTACCCAAGCTGTGAAAGCCATAAACTTCTGCTGAGTGCTCACCTCTCTAGATACTAAATGACCAATGTCATGTGTGGCATTTTTAAGTTGTCCAATGAGAGCCTAAGCTAGTCAAGTGGCGAGGGCATGTCCTGGGTGGCAGTTTACCCCAAAGTTTTGGCAGGTTTGGTATTCCAAGCTCTGCCATCGTGATGACTATGCCTGCCGAATTCTGCCTGCGCTCTGAACTATTTTTCTTTGGACCGGAGGACCTCAACATCCAAGTCTTTCTCCTATGTTCATGAGTGTTGGCTCTCTATTTTAGGTAAGTTTGAATTCCTGTTTATATCATTTTATACTATTGTGTGTCTTTTCTGGAGTTTAGTCATTGCATTTTCACGTGACTCTTGTTGTAATTATTGGGAAAAGAAGTGTACCGATTGATTTTTATGAAGTCAGGACTTTGGGATTGGTTTGGTTTGTTGGGTTTGGTTTACATGTATTTCCATACATCACAATTAGAACTTAAAGAAACAGTGTTATACAGAATGAAATAAAAGATGATGAATGGTAGATACCAGACAGAAAACAAACGCTTGTTCGTGGCCTGGTTATTTGTTATGATGCTATAATTACGAGATAGAGAAGATAGGGCAAAGAGATTACAAGATAACTGAAGGTACAGCTGAATGTTAGAGCGTTACAACTCTAGACATGACTGCTTCATAAGGTTATAAATGTACACACACATGTACGCACACTAAATACATAAATATAGGGTACATAAGCTATATTACACGGGAAAGGAGAATATCCTTCAAGTACTTTTTAAAACAATGTATACTTCTGAAGTATGGTATTGGGGGTGATTTATTCCGGAGCAAAGGTCCTCGATGTCGAACTGTTTTAAGAAATATTGTAGTTCTTGCCTTTGCAATGTGAAATTTGGCTGCTGACCTTGTATTATGTGAGTGGACTTCAGTATTCCTCAGAAACAATGATTTGGTTTCAGGGGGCAGAAGATTGTTTTCAAACATAAACATTAGGATACCCAGCTATTTGTGTAAGTTGAAAATTTATAGCGTGTTCAGTTTCTGGAATAGCGGTTCGGTATGGTCTGTAGGACCAGATTTTGTTATAACCTGCAGCGATTATTTTTTGTAATATTAATACTTTATTTATAGAGGTCAACTGGGAGTTTCCCAAACTAACAGTCCATACTGAAGATGGGGCAGAGCTACGGTATTATAAACAGAAAGTAGTACTTTTGTTGGTAATATGTATTTCAACTTGTGCAAAATCCCTAGTATACGTGAAACTGACTCATGGATCTGCCGGTAGCGGATTTTCCAGATATCAATATAACACCAAGAGATTTGAAGGAACTTATTACTTGACATATTTTTGAATTAATAACATATAAATCGATAATAATATTCCTACTGGTATTAGAGAAGAGCATATAACACATCTTTTTTATTGATAAAATGATTATGACTGTATAAATATTAGTATCATCTGCAAATAAAATAAAGGATATCAAACTCAAAGAATTACAGATGTCGTTGATATGAGAAAAAGAATGGGGCCTAGGATTGATCCTTGTGGGACACCACATCTGATAGGTTTAAGAGTTGATGAGCAGTGTTTCCATTGGACAAACTGTTTTCGGTCAGAAAGTTTCAAAACCAATCCAAAGCTACTCCTCTAATGCCATATCTGTTCAGTTTTAAAAGTAAAATATTATGATCAATTGTGTTGAATACCTTGGATAGGTCCATGAACAATGTAATAGTATGAGAAGATTTTTCTAAAGAAGAGCTAATTTTATCAAGAAGGTCAACTAGAGCCATTTGGGTCTAGTAGTTTGCACGAAATCCATACTGTGACTTAGTTAAGATATTATACTTGGTTAAAAATGAATCCACACGATTTGCTACCAGACGTTCTAAGACTTTGGAAAGACACGGTAGTATAGAAATAGGACGGTAATTGGATATAAGATGTGGTCCCCAGTTTTGAATACAGGAATTACTTTAGCAACCTTAAAGTCATTTGGCACGATTCCGGATATGAACAATAGATTTAAAAACTTTAACAGAGGAAAAGCAATGTCATATCTAATTTTCTTAACAAGGGGTGCACCTAAATTGTCATTTCCAGAGCTCTTTTTGGACGGTAATATACATTTTAAAAGTTCATTTGCAGATATTGAATTCATAAAAAATGAATCATTGAAGTCACTAACTATAACATCTGTCAGATTGGAACTGACTTGTGGGATCTTACAAGCAATCTCTGGACCAATATTTGTAAAGTATTTATTAAAGTTTTCGGCAATGAGTTGTGGATCATCTAGGCTTAGGCTACACTGTTCACTTTAAATGAATCAGAACCAGATGATTTTTTTAAATTTCTATTCAGGACGTCATTTATTATTTTCCATGTATTTGCTATGTTGCCTTTTTTCCTCTCAAATGCTGCAAAGAAGCTTTTTTTTCTTAGCAGTTCGCAAAATACTTGTTAACCTGTTTCGATACTTGTCATATTTTGTTTTACCAGGGGGTCTGTAAATTAATCCTAAAACAATGTTTTTCCTCTTAGGAACTTTTTTTCGATGAAAATAGACTCAAAATAATTTGAGACGCTACATGAATCTGGTCTAACAATATACGACAAGGATTCTTTTACATACAGCAATACACCCCCACCGGTCTGTCCTTGTCTATTCTTGTACTCATATGAGTATCCTGGGATACATAGCATTGAATCAGGGCTGGTATTGAGCCACGTTTCCGTTAAACTCGTGTTCAATCTCTTCCAAACATTACATTAATTCGGTTTTTTTTAATGCTTCTGAAATTGTTGTGGAATATCGAAAATGGATTTCTTTCCATTTCATCAACTTTTGTTTTCAACTGCCTTTCAGAAAGGTATTTGGTTCCACATGCGTTATGAGAAATTCCGCTGGAATCCATTAGGTCTGGAGAATCAAGACGGTCATTGAAGCGAAAAGCGGCGTCATTCGCTGAATCAATGCTGTTGTCGTCACTTAAAGGATCAATCTTTGTGTGTGCCCCTGTCGAAATGGGTTAGTGATATGGTTCACTGATTGAGAACAAAGGTTTCGAAGTTAAGAGGAACACTAGCTGAGTGTGGCTCATATACCTGTATCGCACACCATGAAAATGGCATCTGCCATGACAGACAAGCCATTGGCAGCTAGTACGTGTACACGTATGACATGGTACTGACATAATACAGTAAACATGTGTGCATAATGAAAGTAAGTTAAAGGGTATTGTATTTCTAGAATTATAACTTACAAATATAGAGATTTGCATTCCAGTTGTGGTCGTTTGTTACCTATAACTATCTGCCTGTTAATATATGTAGTGATTTTGATTTAGAGCAGGGAGTCTCAAAGCTGAATTACTAGGAGAAGATACACCTGGGAGCTAGGAGATTGTTTGCTTCTCCAAGTCAGAGGGTCTTGAACATACCACTGTGGAGTTTGTAGATGACGGCAGGGACAGACATGGGAATGTAGGCGAATTGGGATATTTTGAGGAGCCCAAGCAAATTTATGATGTTGAAGGTTTGGTATCTCTTAATTTCTACTAGTCAGTGATGTTCTGAGACTAGATCCAAGAGAGATGTTCTTTGCTTTTACATTTAACTTAAGACTCAAAATTTGTTCTCGGAAAATTTCTAGAAAAGAAATTTTTGCCAGATTTCTGATTGGTAATTTGACATTTGTTAACGTTTTGCCACAAATCACGGCAGCGTGGAAAAAAATCAACCGGGCGATATGTCACTCACTGTGAGTGATCCCAAATACCTTTTTTCATACTAAGTAGTCATAGAAAATTTTGCATCTAATGTCTGTTTAATCAAAAAGACTTTCAAAGTTGCGTTTCATTGGAACTGGCCAAACTGAACGCATAATTATTGTTTCCTTGTTTTGGATCACACATTAAGTGCATGAACGCAATATACATGTACATGTATATGTACGTTGCGAACTCATCTTAATACGAACGTTGCAGAAATATCAATGTACGTGACGTAATGGGTTTGTCAACTGTGCGGCACGAGGGAATATCCTTGATGGCTCGCGCTGTGCAGCTGAAAAGGTCGAGTGGAAATGTACAGCAGAAAATATAAGCTTTCTACAATGGTTCTGGATGAAAATGGATTTGCAGTTCGCGTGGTTACTTTCCGGATCTGGAACTGGGAAAACTAGTCGAGTTCATTCACAACTTCTTCCTTTGATTATGCACAGTAGAATAAGTAGCAACGGTGGCATCCATTGATCCATGGTAGTGCACAGTATTGCAACTAAGGTTTAATTTAAGAGTATCGGACTATTTACTTTCGGGCAAGGCACACGCGTGAAGTTTAACAACTGACCACGGGGTGGAAGTTCCGTGGTCAGACGGACTGACCGTCGCGGGAGTGGACCGCAAAAGTTCCGCCAGCCACACACACAGCCAGCTATGAGTGCCGAACCAACATGGGGCTACTCCCTCGAACCGCACAACACTTTTGCCCATTATATGCATCAGAGCGCACAACAATTTGTAGTCAGTGTCGCACATACACCAGGCAAGATATGGGACGGAGGGGTATCCCCCCCACCTGTCCAAACCCTATACACGCTCCAGAGTATCGTTACCTAACACATCCCACAGAAGTCTGTAAAGAATTCCTGAGATTTCAATCAAACAATGACCAACACAAAGGCGGGGGGGGGTTCTCTCCGTCCCATATCTTGCTTCAAATGGTCGCACAACGAGGAGTGGCCACACAGGCCAGGTACAAAACGGCAAGTTTAGGAAACCTCGCCTTTTGTCCGGTTCGTAAGTGACTTCGTCACAAAGGCGGACGCGCCACGATTTGCGGGCTCCTGGGCCATTGGACGATCGCAGAATTTTCGCCTAATTTCTGGTTCCAACGCGGCGTCGATCAATATGTGCAGTGAAATATGGACGGGGCTGCGTAGCACCGTGCAGAATATTGACAAGAATATAATATCAAATCAGCGCTCTGAAATATATGATTGCCTAGGCTAGCTTTCGGTAACTGAGTACCTTCTTCAGGGCAAGTAGATTCAGTTCTGCTTGTCCCTGAAGAAGGTACTCAGTTACCGAAAGCTCGGCAATCACATATTTCAGAGCACTGATTTGATATTATACTGTTGTCGATAATATGAGTAGTGCATGTGCAGTGGGCGTGGTTTAAACTGAAGTGGCGTCACACTTTACGAACCGGATAGTAATGAAGAAAAACCGCAGGCGTATGTGCAACATAGAATAAACGAGTAGTTCAGAGATACGCAACACTAGTAAACAGGATAAAATTATGACAAAAATGAGACAAACAATATGACGCATTCTCGGCCAACTGACAGCTAGCTAGGAAGAATCTATTGGGGGGATTACAATCCGTCAGGCAAATAAAATTATACACATATTAATTGTGGTCGGGCCTTGCATCACAATGCTGCATTCTTCCACCGGTGCTTTCACAGCCACCTAACCATGAGAGTCCTATTTTTTCCTTGAACAAAATTTTAAAAGGAAAATGCACACGGCACGCACAGGAAAGTGATAGTGCCGTGTGCACGCGGACGTTGCACACGGAAAACTAATATGGAACGCCAGTTACCTACAAAACTGTTCTCTCAAAGGATTGAACGTACTGCAGATTGTGAACCCATCTAAGTGGAGCATAGTAAACATAATTAACAACCAAGTAAACAACTTTGGCACTTTGGAAAATCTTTTTGATGTATTTTTTTTTACATTCAACTTTTCTACTTTTTCTCCACGTTTTCCATGTTCTTGACAAGACTATCGATTTATTGGGCATAATTGACCCGTGGGTTTGACATCCTCATCCCGTTTTTATTATTTATTTATGGAAAATAAAGGGGGTAGAAATCGATCGTGGAAAGCCACCTAGGTATACCACAAAGATAACCCTGTGTCAGAAAGTGGAAAAAATGAAGTTGTAATGCAAGTGTAATTTGAAGTACACTGAATGGATTTTACGAAGAATAGGCTTTCCATAGACACGCTCCAGTGATCCCAGATCATCAGGTGCGGACGGACCGGACTGGGTCGTATCCGGCCGAGATCTGAAACGGTACCGATAAGCTTGGCACAGTCAGTCCACTTTCAACGTCAAGTGCGGCTGGCGAACACGAAAGTCTTCAAACGTGTAAGTAGCGCCTGGGCGCGCGCATTCTTTCGGCTTTACACATTCAGTTTGCCGTATCATTGGAGCAGTTTAAATAAATGCTCAAAACTTAACTGTTCCACCAATGATGACGATAATTTATTTCCAATGTTAACTTTAATAGCGCATTGATTAAGTTTATGTAGTTATTCGAGTAGGCCTAATTAGCATTTGTAAGTGATTTAATTTACTGAAAAGAGCGTTTTAAATGCTGGGTATTATTATTATTATTAAGTGCTTTATAGTGCTTTAGATAAAACATTCGACTTGATTATAGAAATAACTGACAGTCTAACGTAACCTTTTAAGTTCCAACTCGCAAATAGTATCTTTGCATCAATTCTTTTCATAATGTATAGGAGTTCCTAATAGTTTTTCCTAAGGTAGACGTAAAGAATTAAATAAAAATTCTGGTCAGTGACCAAAAAGGAAGAGCAGCAGGCTGACCAGAGACTGGGGATCGGGGGGGGGGGAGGTTCAAGGGGAGGGGGGAGGTTTAAGGGGAGGGTGGGGGGAAGCACTCATTAGCTGCAAACTGAGAAACCATTACCGGGAGGCTTCTGTTTTCCTTTTTTTTCCCCAAAAGAGGGAGGAGTATCCTCCCTGCCTCCCCTTGCAACCCTCCTGTGCGGCCCTAGCCATAAATTACTTGAATTTTCCAAATTTTGAGGGCACAGCAAACCCGTTGTGAATTTACTGATAAAAGGACTAATTAAATTTGGACCGAGATCAACAAATGTGGATATTGATGCATTGCAGATCTGCATACAGATGTCAGACATACAGAATATGTGTTCTTTCAATTACTCACTTTATCCTGTGGTAAAAATACAGAAAGGATAAACAAAATCCAGACGGTTTTCAAAAAGGCAGCAGGAGCAGGACTCTCACTGGTAACTTTTTTTACTTCGCCTTACAAGCTTTGCCTCGCATTGCAAACACCATGGCAAAACAGGGACCAAATGGAAAGTGAAAAAAAGTACCTGCTGCTCTTGTGCTACTTTGCAAGAGGGTGGAGGCTTATCCAAGTAGCCTCCAGGCAGTGGATGTTCTTATCCAAACAGCCCACAGAGTGACCATAATGTGGGGGGGGGGGGAATTGTTTTGTGTTTAGGTACTGCAAAGTGACCTCAGTCAATACCTTTGTGGCTTAAATAAAGTGGCACCGGTATGCATTCATGCAGAGTACTTGAATCAAATATGATGCCAGCACTGAAGGGTACCCAACATGGGTGTGTGTGCACATGTGCAAGAGAAACCCTACCCCAATTTCAAGGAAAAACGAAATAGAGAAAACATGTACGGGATATCATACTTAACAAATGCATTCAATTTGTGTACTAATGTTAACCACTTCCGATCTGGCTCCTGGCTGGCTTCAGTATTTTCAAATACCAATTCCCTCACACAATACCAAAAGATTTTTCACCTTGCCTGATGAATGCACCTTGGCCTCCCCCCCCCCTCCACTCGGTCACTGACAGAGTTTTAGGGCTTACATATGGTGTGCACAAAGGCCCTGTCAGTGACACAATACATTGGGTACGTGCACAGGTATGGAAGAGGAAATTTCCACATTAAACTAATAAGCCACTGCACTAGTGGTTTAAGACCCTCATTGACAGGAAATACAATCTCATCATCCACCGTATTTTCTGTATCAAATCACTGTGGCTGTGCCATTCATATTGGTCCCTTGTGAACCGTGATCTATGGTTGTGTTTTTGCACCCTTCAACCCAGCCATCCTGACATCAACCCTTTTCAACTCGGTCTCCTGCAGGACTCATGCAGTGCATATAGGACTTGAAAAATTGATCACTCCTCTCCTTTCTTTGTGTTGAAAACCTGAAAGCTGTTCCTGTCAATCGGTGCACGAATTGATGGGAGTCGTCCTGGACAGTTATGTGTAGTCTTCAGTAATATTTCACTATTTATCCAAATTTAACAGTCCTCAGTCCTCAGACTGATTACTGCAGTCTTTTCCAGAACTTGCACTGTGTATACAGTCAAGCCCAAAATTATTCATATCCTTTGAAAAATGTGGCAGTTTGCCATTTTGTTAAAACATTTGAACTGGACTCATGGTCAACGCATGCACACAAAAGCTAGAATTTCCTGTGCAAAAGCTCCTCTAAACTTTTGGTTGTCAGTTCTATCAGTGGGTCTTTCGATTGTAAATTCTGTTACCTGAATTTGGAATGGGTAGGAGTAATTTTTGACTTAACTGAAATTTATGACATGAAAAGTTTGATTGCCCCTTTCCTTTCAGCGTGTTGAAAATCCATTAAACCAGGCTTGATGTGCCTCAACTTACGGGTAGTTTCTATAAACTGGCACTCAAACTGGTGCATTTATGCGGAAAGTTATTGGTTGATGCGTGGTTGGCATAGAGTAGGTAGTTATTGAAACTTGCCAGATGTTACACTCTTTAAAAAATGAAGCCTATGAAATTATACTCCCATAGTGAAAGGCTGATCTTTTTGAGGGCTTTAATGATATCCAAAGATTTTCTTGAATTACACTTGATTCTTTGTGGAATGAGTTTGTTGGATAATGTTTGTGGAGTGCCTACCGATACATGCACATGTTCATAGTGGCTTGATAAATACTGGTAGTGGTCACTCCTGAGAAGCTAAAACTTAGCTTCTCAGGATGAAGCTTAGTTGGAACTTTGATTTTGTCTTTTTCTGCAGTTCGACATGGCGGGCATTGACAAGCTCAACTGGTTCTGTGGAGACGACAACACCGAAAACCTGATTAATTTCACCTTTGACCTGAACCACACCCTGTACAATGCCTGCTTCGTGGACCTTGCCTACACGTTGCCACACCTGGCATTCCTTGTCTTGGGTGTCCTGGTTCTGTTCGTCCTCGGATGTTGCACTCAGATCCGGAGGAGGAAGTACACCTACCTGATTCCCTATCCTGGACACTACCTGCGCTGGGTGCTCTACATCTTGTTTGTACTGCTGGTGATCTCTGAGCTTGGCGAGGGAATCCTGACGGATCTGGGCGTGTACGGTGATCTGCCCACCAGACCCCACCTGTACGTGCCGGGTGCCCTGTCTTTGGTGGCAGCCCTGGTGTCAGTGGTCTACTACAACCAGATGGAGGTGTGGAACAGGCCGGGCATGGCCTGGCTCCTACTGATCTACTGGCTGGCAGCACTGGCCGGGGAGGTGGCTAGGTTCCTCAATCTGGACCATGACCCCAACGTGGATTTCTCGCTGATGCGGCTTGACTTGAATATAGCTGCCCTAGTTACCTATGCCCTCCTTCTTTTGTTTGAGCTTCACGTCATCAGAACTAAGGTTTGTAATCATTCTGAGGAGATCTAAGCAAGATTTATAAATAAGAAGCTTGTACCTTTCCCAAAGCAATCAGCACAAAAGGCAATTGCACAGAACTTTGCAAAAAGTTTTCATGGCCCACTTTCACAGTGCTGCTTACTGTGAAGGAAATTTGTTGTTAACCCCAAAGAACAAAAATTGCTAACTAACAGTAAGTGTATTTCATGGCAAACATTTCACGGTTGCTGTGCTTGGCACAAAACGTGCATTGGCACCCATAGAAATTTCAAACGTTTCACAACTAAGTTTGGCAAATGTTTTCTCCGAGGTTAATTGTGCCTTTCAGTTTGCTGTTCTTACTGAAATATATGAACACGAAGCCTCCGTTAGCAGAAAATGGTTTGCTTGGCAGTGCCGTGAAATTGGGCCCAAGTATTTAATAACTTGCTCAGGGTTCCCGCGGCTTGGAAAGTCATGGAATTTTGTAAAAATAACTAAAGTCATGGAAAATTCATGGAATGTTTCAAACATTGTGTGTGATTTTTATTATCAGGAATAAGTGCATAAAATGCGTGATTTTATTCGCAACTTTAAAGTCTGCACAGTCCAAGAAATTGCCTCATAGGGTCATGGATTTTCATCATTTGGTCATGGAAAAGTCATGGAAAATTCATGGAATTTAACTGTCCTTAAGTTGCAGGAACCCTGCATGCTTTAGTTATGCATGCAGTTAGACTCATAAAAGCGCACTCAAACTAGATTGACGGGAGTCAAAACTAAAGGTTATAAGAGTACCCGTTTTTTGTCTCTTGCTACAACTAGGGATGTAGACACAAGGTGATAAATTCTGAGGCTGGTGGATTGCTGTATTGACTATAGATAAATTTGCTGTTTTCTGCAGTTGGGTATGATACTGAAAATTGCTGATAACCCATCTTAGTTCTTATTAATTTGTGATATTTGTTGGCACTTGCCACGCAGGTTTTGAAATGGTGCACCACGGAAGAGCGATTCCCAGAGGACCTGCTGCGGCCGGACATGCACTACATGCAAGAGTACTGCAACTTCCTCTCCTGTTTCATGTACTCGTGGATAGGCTGGCTGTACGTTGTAGGCTACAACCACAGTTTGGAGTATGAGGATGTGGGCAGTCTATCTGAAGTCCACACCACCAAGTACCAGAGTGATTGCCTCAATCGGGCCTTGAAGAAGGAGCAGGTATGCATGCAAATGTCACCTCAGTGGTTTGGATACAGTGAATCAAAGACAAACTGGAGATTAGAAAGATGAATTGATTTGTACTTTCGGAAAAAGCTTCGTACCAAAAAAAAAATCAGATCTGGTCTCTGGTTGGCCTTGCAGACCTCAGACTGGTTGGCTTTATGTGTTAGCTGCCCAAGCATGGATGATTTTCCCATTAAATGTCATTGGGAATCACAGGAACTCATTTGGTAATGTGAATTGAGGTATTTGTCAATTTGTTGCCTGTGTAAAATGGAGAGTTAGATTTGCTCATGATAGTGGGAGTTAAGAAATTATTTTGCTTGTAATTTGAAATTTGCAGCCCATTGTTCAACAGCCCTCAAGTTTTGTCTTGCCAAATTTGTGACGTCCTGCAAATATCTCTGAATAGGTTGCCATGAGTACATCTTGGAGTCGATTTGCACGTACCGTGTTTGCCTTTGCAGTTAAGCTCATTTTAAGTACAATAGGAACTAGCTCAAAGGGTTTTGAAAACCTGTTAAGAATTTAGTTCATCTAACCTTAACAAGTCCAATTTCTGTCTGTCACCAGGAAAGGGCACGGGCAAAGGGCACATCTCTGAGCATGTTTCGGGTCTACGCGCGGGCTTATGGCTGGGATATGTTTCTTGCATTCCTGACCCGGGCGCTTGGGGACACCTGTGCCTTTGTACCACCATTTGCCGTCGCTGGTGTCGTCAGCTACGTCATGTCACCTGAGGAAGCACAGGAGAGTACTGTAAGTTAATGAAACAGAGAGTTTCAAATTGCTTATTGCCTAATGTCCAGTTGCCATAAACCTAGACGTGCTGGTTGCTGTGGGCTGACCTTTTTTGGAGTAATTACTGCAAACAGACAGAACTTACTAAAAACGTGGAAATGTCAAAGTAGTTTTGGATTTGGATTGAGTAAAACTTACCATGCTACTTTGAAAGCTTTGTCATCAATTCAGTAGAATGTGAATCTTCAGACCAAAAGGAGGGAATGAGTTCTTCCGGTTGTCTTCTTAAATATGATGAATAATTCTGGCATTTATAAATAATACTGCTATCTTGTAACTGTGTACCTCACAGCAGGGGATATGGTTCAGGAAAAATTGCTCCCTCCCCTACCGAGACATCTTGCAAATTTTCTGTACTTTTTCAGAAATTGAAAGCACCATTTAATTGAAAAGCATTTTCAAAATGGTTCTACTGCGTACCTGATATAAGAGACTAAGGATTCTTCCATGGGTAAAAAAAAAATCCCACTCCCCCGTCCCTATACGTAGGTACCGACACCCGACAAGGCCACCAATTGGAACCTCAGAAATGCATGTGTTTAAAATTGCTCTTACGCTATCCCTGTCTTTAGAGCAAGTACATATCGGCAGCAGACTTCATCAGCAATGGCTTTGTCTTGGTAGTTATCCTGTTCCTCGCCACAGCCACAAGAGGAGTAGCCTTGCAAGGTCACTACCAGATAGTCATCCTGGCATCGGCGCATGTACAGATTGCCTTGCAGGTGCGTGCAGGTTCCTTCCCCTCTGCACCCATTCAGAATATCATGGCGATGCCTATGCCTTTTGGTCTTTTCTGAGGGGACGATGACTGGCAGTATTCATTAAAACTTACAAATTTGCCAATAGTTTTAACCCTGAGCTTGCTGGCATGTCCAACTATACTCCTCCTCAGGCGATGGTCTACGACAAGTCACTGCGTCTTGCCTCCTACACGCTGACTGGAGGGTCGATGACCGTGGGCCAGATCACCAACCACATGTCCGTGGATGCTCTCAACGTCCTGGAGGCATTTCAGATCCTGTTTTACCTCTTCAGTGTTCCATATCTGGTAGGGAGGCCGTAATCTTGGACTGTTTGCCGTTGAGTTATCTCCACAGGTGCCTCTGCTGTCTCGGCGTTTACTTAGCGGGGCAACGTTGGCATTGCGATTTTCATTCATTTTGGGTAAATCAAGATTGAAGTTTGAGCTCAGCTACAGTGATCTTCAAAAAGTGAACCCTTCTGGTGCAGAATATATCAGACAACAGATTTGGTGCCCACCCCCAAAAAAGAAGGAAAAAGTGAAGGAAAGTGAAGGGAACAAATGAGCTACTTTTTGATGGTGGTAGGACCCCCCCTTCCCCTGCCCCCAGTTCTGCCACTGCTGGTATAGACCTAACAAGATTGTGCTGCTAAAATGTCCAATTTTCTGGGTCGTATTTCCTTCCACTTCCTGTGTTTTTTTTCCTCCAGTGCATTGGCTACTTGATCATCTTGTACTACCAGCTGGGTGTGGCTGCTCTGATTGGCTTCTTCATTGTGGCAACCATTTTCCCGCTGTCCTCCTTCATAGCCAAGAAGACGGGACGTTTCCAGAAAAGTGCTTTGGTAATTAAATCCCGAATGCTTTCTTGAGGATAGTTAGGAAGGCTTATGCTCCCTGGTTCATTTACCCTTCCTCCAGGACGCAACAGGATCAGGCCGTGGTTAGACGGAAAACAAGGCCATGTAGAACGACGTGTGTCATATGCACATTATGCCCAGAACGTGTACAGTACGTACTTTGTGTGTCCTGAGCATAATATGCATATGACGGACGTCAATCTACATGACCTCCTTTTCCGTCTACCTGTTTAATTGTGTGTGAGTGTGGAATAGTTCCGGCAATAAAGCTGGGCATTGTTCACACGTAAATGCACATGGCTTGGCTGGGCATTGGCCCGATAAAACATGTCTGGTACAAGAGAAGTCATCCTTTGTTGGTACTGGGGAGAAATTCCTCCTGAATACTCCACCAGGGAGGCTGACAAGGAGGCCTTCAGGAGATTGGAACTTAATATGACATGAGGTAATTATTATGGCATAAACGTAGTTGTCTGTAGTTTCTCCTAAAACCTGCTGATTAATGCGAATTAATGACAGTCTTCAAATTGTTTGTCGTCCTGCCTTGACCCCTTGGTTTTGGGTTTCAAGGTGTAACTGTAGCACCTGTTGGGATGAGGTGAGGGCTGATTTTGACCTGGGTTTTGACCTGTTGGTCATCGCGCCTCAATTGGTGGGTGTCCAATTTAAATTTGCCAGCATATCAGACACACTACCGTTTCTTGAGAAATCTCCACGAACAAATCTGGCAGCTCCGAATCCGTTTTGAAATTTTAAAATTTGAACCTTCTCTGGTTGCTTTGCTGACCCACAAATCCCTGACAGTACTTCCTGTAGAACATAATCAGTTTATCCCAGCCTCAACAACTTGCAGTAAACAAGAGCTCTGTGGAGAAGATGAGAGAAAGTCATTCACTGGTCTTTACCTAAGTGGGAGCATGCATTTCTGCCTATAAAACCACGCGATGCATTGTTATTTCAAACCTAATGTGTATCTGGAGCACCAACAGTGACAAAATTGTGCCAAACACCTTACCCTACTTCTGTTGCAAAAAATGGGACAGGATGAAAGAGGGGCTAAATGGTAGATTAAGAGGGGTTTTTCGACTACCTGCCTGCCTAATTGTTGAAATTTAGGGCTGCTGGGTTAAAGTGCTCTTTGAAGAAACAGATTGTTTTGAGATTTCCTAGAATTATTCCTTCTGGCAGGAACTTTAAAGGGGAGTTCTCTGCCTGTTGCATGTGTTATACTTCTCTGATATTTATTTAGTGATTTTAGAATTTCTGTTGTTATTTTTACTTCATTTAATTAGGCTTTCTTTTGACAATTGGCAGTTGTCTGTAGAGGGTGGACATGTGTATGAAAACAGTTCCAAATTGATACTTTTTGACCATTTTAATTTTTATCTGACCAAACGATCAAATGCACGATCGTATGTGCACGATCAAATCATGCCAAAGTTGCACAAATGTGTTTAAAAGTGAGGAAGTCAAGTCCCATTCCCATCAGCAATACTAAGAGTTTAATACTAGAAGTTCATTGTAGTTGTAAATTAGTGAAGAATTCGACACTGCATATGGCAATTCTAGTGCCTTTGATAAGTGCGGACTAAAAGCTAATGACGGTAAGGTACTCGGTCTCTGATTATGTTCTCTTTTCTTTCCATTTTGTTTCCACTTTCTTATATTCCATTTTATTTTCATGAAACGCTTGATAGAATTTGTGACATGATCCCTTGGTCCGGGTTTCTGACAGGAAAAAGGTGACGAGCGTCTGAAGCGAACCAACGAGTTGCTGCAGGGGATCAAGCTGATCAAGCTGTACGGCTGGGAGGACATGTTCTACACGGCCATCAGCAAAGTCCGAGCCCTGGAGATCAGTTCCTTGCTCAAGCAGACTGCGGCAAAAGTCTTCATGTGTAAGTGAGAAGGTTTCTTGACAACTTTACCCTGGCAGCGTGGTCCAGTTATGTCATTTTTCATCAAGGTGAATTAAAATATCCTGCAATCTTGCAAGATCTGGCATGTAGTTCCTCCAAGATGGCAATTAAGGTTATGGTTGCATCTTCAAAATAGTGTGAAAATTATGACAAGGTTAACTAGAGTGGAATGTTCAAATCACTAGTTGGCATAATGATGGTGCATATAATTGGCGCACAGTACTACAGGCAGTTGCCGGGTTTAGTTGTGAAGTTCTCCATACATCCTTTATGGTATTAGATTATTATTAGATTAGGTTTGGAATTAACTCTGGATTCTAAAGTGGTTGCCAGAGCCTTGTGATGCTGATAAAAGGAAGAAATCTGATAGGGTGTTGGCTGGTGGTCCTACCAGATGTATCTTACCCTTAAAATTGAGTATCTTCTAGCAGTCAGCCAAAAACGTTTTGTTTCAGTTGTGCTTATTAAGGTGCTAAAAACTTTCTCCACTCTGTTGGAACTATACTTACACTATCAACACAGATTAGATTAGGTATAAATGAACTCTGGATTCCAGAGTGGTTGCTCATCGGAGCCTTGTACTGCTGATAAAAGGAAGAAATCTGCCCACAAAATTGAGAATCTCCAAGCAGTCGGAAAAAAGGTTTATTTCAGTTGGAACTATTATCAACACAGATGCAAATTGTTGCACAATAATTTTCATGCAAAGTGTTTACGTTTGTCTTCGAAAATTCATCAGGAAATCGATTGGTAGTCTGCTTCCACTGTTGGATGCCTTGACACCTATTTATTTTGTGTAGAGCAGGAATGCTAACTATGAGACTCTCACCTCCCACTGCAAGTTTTGCTTGTCAAACCAAATACACTGATTTGAAATGTGCATCTGGGACTTGTTGGACGATTTCCTGATAATGTGGTTATCTCTGCTTGCAGTAACACTGTCCAACTCCTGCCCACTGCTCGTCACTTTGGTGGTGAGTATTTACAGCTTGTAGTCCTACAGCTTTCTAGAACTCCACTTTTATAGGTATTTCACACCTCTGTGGCATTCGCACCCCTATTATTCAAAAGTATTTGTATCATGTGCACGGCTGCCACATTCCTGACTGATGTGTATGCATAGTAGAGAAGACAGGGAGGGAGACATTTTTCACATTTTCACATCTTTTATAAGTGCTACTCGTGTGCTCTGGGTCACAAGGTCTATACAAGCAAAATAATGCAAATGCAGTCGATTTTCGATATAATATTGGGCGCGACAGAGTTCTGATTGGAACCAATACACATCTTTGGGTATATACTGTCCTGTCCAGTCTTACAGCTTGTACACCACGCTAACAGGCAAGCATCTCACCCCGGCAGTAGCCTTCGGTTCTCTGGCGGCCTTCAACCAGCTGTTTTTCCCCCTCATGGTCCTACCGTACACCCTGATCACGACGGCCAACGCCGTGGTCAGCACGGGCCGCTTGAAGGCCTTCCTGGCCGCGCCGGAGATTGAGGAGCATTGGGAACCCAAACCCAAGGTGCAAAAAGAGGTGAGTGTCGGGGTTCCTGGTGGCTTTTAATATTTAAATCATGTGAAACTTTTTCATAACAAGAGTTATCAAAAGTTTGACCTTTTGAACATGTTAATGGTGGGTTCCATGTATTTTATATGATGAACCTTGCATTTGAAGTAATTAGCGAAACCGTCTCTTTATAACTTGTCCAGTTTAAGCCAGTACTACAAGGAGAGAATTCTGTGGTGTAATAAAGGGGGATGGGTAACAGAAACGGAACTCTGTGCTGTCTGTGCCGTCCACTTCCATTCAAAATTATGAAATGTACACATCTTACATACAAGACCCAGTGAATTTGCTTACAGCTAGCATCCCTTCAAACAACTGTTAGCACTCGTGGCTGCCCCCTCGAAATTTTACCTTCATTACGCACAGTCTCCTACAAATCGTTAACCCTAACCCTCAATCCTTCACCTGTTGGAGGATTGAGGAAGGTTAGGGTTAAAGCACTTGTTATGACACTAGTCAGTACCAACCACAGTAGGCTGACGGAGATCACATTTATTAGATCTTTTCAAGACTGTTTCATTTTGTTCATTCAACAAAGGTGGTAATAAGGGATTTCCAAAATGACCACAAGCCAGAGGACCGACAGTGGCTCCTAGACGGACAGAACCACGAGCAGGACTTTGGTACCTTCTCCCCCAATGCATCTTTGTCCACCGGTCTCACATACGTACCTGACGACATGGCCTGTCGGGTTAGAACCCTTGAGATCCGTCTTTCTAAATTAATTTCATGAGCCCATGAGGGATGCAATTTATGACATGATGCTTTAATAAATATAATAATCAGTTTTTATATATTGTGGAATATCTCTATGTGCTTATTATCTAAAGTTAGGAGTTATTTGAATACTGTTTTGTGCTTTGTTTATGCATGTGCTTTTCTCAGGATGGGGCTCATTCTCAAAAGTGTTACTTGAGGGAATTGAGCACTGACCATCGGTAAATTTATGGTCACTCCACACCACCCGACCCCACCCGATCCCCAACCCTACCCAAAACCACCCCACCCCATCCCCATTCCATTCATATTTCTAATTCAAGTCATTTCAATTCAAGTGGCTTGAATTCAATTCAATTCACTTCAAGTTATTTGAATTCAAGTCAGTCAATTCAGTTCAAGTGATTTGAACTCAATTTATTAATCCTCAGGAAATTTGTCTCCTCACATGCAACACATTAGTCCAACTAATTAAAGAAACAAATTGGAATATAATCAAAGTAACCATAACAATTACATATTTACACGTCTATTACAGAAAGCAGCCAAAAGTAAAAAAAAAAGTCATGACAACAGGACTGTACCTGCGTTAGCCTGTGGTGATAAAATTAAACATGATTATAAAGCACTGATATTGGTTGCCTAGAAGGCGCACGGAAAAGGAAACACATGAATGGTTTCTTGCAGTGCCTGTGCTAAACTTTCCATTCCGGCCCCCATGAGGATACATCTGTGAATTAAACAGTAACGTCATTACCTCTCGGGTTTAACATTGCCGTAATTTTGTATGTCTTTGCCTCATTCATTTGAAATGTTAATTTAACAATTTCAACTTGAAAAGGGATACGATCCGTTCCTATTCAATCCAGGCTGTTCTGAACACAGTCGTAGCAAAGTTTACTTAAGAGTCTTCATTTTATGTGAATTTTATGTTGCAAATTTGTGTTTCTGGCTCATTTGTAACCCCAAAAATGAAACCAACCATAAGCCATAACAGGCATATAGACATTGATGTAACTCCTTGTTTGACATTCACTCTCTGGTCATTTACCCACATGACAGATTGACGGCAGTTTTACCTGGGATGAAGGCTATTTCATGCCTACCCTCAACAACATTGAACTGGACATTCCCATGGGTAAGTCTTGTAGACAACTCAGCATTATTTAAGGACTCGCTGAGATGTTTCTCCCTAGCAAGCTGAGCAACTCTTTGCAAATATTTCTTGTATTAATTATTTTTTTACTGTAAATTGTGTATTCTTACAGAGCACCATGTACTAAAAAGTAATACGCTGTGCAGTAAAATAGCTGTGCTTGTCAATTAAGCAACTGACAATAGAGTGCTGCTGTTTGGATGCCAAAACCTCAGTACCCATTTGTGAATTGTCAGTCATTCAGAAAAAGGCAATGTGGACTTTACAGCTTAAAATATTTTGGATGTGATTTTTACAGGGGAATTCATTTCGATCAGTGAACATGACCGTGAATTGGTTTTGTTAGAGCTTCTTAAAGCAATAAGGCGTGTGCGGTACAATGCGTAACTGTATTTGACGGATGATTTACTGTATTACAAAAATGCAGGAAAGGAACTGTTTAATTTAAAATGTGCTTTTGAATCAGGCGAATGTGAGGTATTTGCATCACCGTTGTATGAAAAGTTAATTCTTGTAGTTGCTAGGGTCAAGCCGTGTATCTTCTGATTTACACGTCCCGTTGGGTTGAAACTTTGCAGGAAACTAGAAAGTGAAGTGTCATAGACAAAAATTGACCTCATGTGACGACAATGTCATCAGGAGACAAGTCACATGACATTAAAGGTGCACTCTTTAAAGCCCTATATCTCCTGAAGTACTCTGTGGTTAAGCATTCCTGTTGCACTTTTATGAAAGTACACAGGACTAGCACTGCAGAGGACGGGTTGCCTTCCTTGTGTCACTGACATGCAAGCGTCTTTTTAAAGACCCCCGTAAATGTGACATGTACATGTGTACACTGCATGAAGTTGTATTTGGATAAAGTTTCCAATGGTTCATTTGACTCTACCTTATGCCACTGTCGTTCAAGTTGTCTGAGAAGGACATCGCTGTGTCAGAGTTAGGGTGTACACTAAACTACTTCATCAATTTGAGTGTGAATTATGGTGGAAAGGTTTGATGTTGGATACAGGAGCAAGTCCACACACTGTACATGTGTGCAAGACATGAAAGAATGTCGTTGTTATGCGATACCAAACACGACAGGGTTTTGTTTGGAATTTCTTGTTTCCTTTTTTAGCTCTGAGAGTGTAGTTTGTGCACAGAATTCAGGGGTCGCAATTCTTTCTAAGATGACTATGGGTCACAAGGAAACTTTGTCGTGATTTTCTTAGAGAACTAATTTTTCATCAAATTTCCTTCCCTTCTCGTCCCACTGTTGCCATTGTCAACTTCAATCCATTCAACTTTAGAAAAAAAATCTCACTTTTCCAATATTCACACTGTTGAATCAGTTCGCATTCACTTTTCACAATAGTCACAATTATATTTTGTTCATTGAGCCCTGTTATATTGGCACTTGGTGCATGGCCCCACATTCAACAACGCTCCTCTTGGAAACATTTTTTTGGGGGGGACTGATTAGAGATTGAGTGATTTGTATGTGAAAGCTGTGGCATTTCATAAAGGAACAAATTACATTGAGCGACTGAGCAAGAGGTTGCTTTAGTGCTTACAGTTCGCTGATCTGTACAAATGCTTTCATGATATCAAGTCAGATTTTTATCTTTTGTCACAATCCTTTACAACGGCCTGGAGATTTCTGAGCATGGCATAACATTTGAGTAGCAAGCTAGGGCCTGCTCAAGGGCAAATATCCAGAATTAAATTATTTTTTCAAGGATGGAATGTGAAGATTTCCTTACTATTCCAAGGTGCCAGTCTAAATTTACGGGCTTTTACTCGCATTGAGAAGGAAGGAAAAACAAAAGAGTCCAAAGTAAATATCCTTCTTGTCATATCCTGCTTTTTAGGGGGTTGACTATTCCTCTCCCCCCCATCTGCTAGTCAGTGGCCAGGAATGCAAAGGCTGTCACATTTTTTACACCTACATGTATGAAAGCAGTGGCCAGTCTTATGGCTGATTTTTAAAAAGCAATCAGTATGCTGCTTTTCCAGTTCTTGACGGATTAGAAAAAAAATTGATCTAATGGAAGTAAGCCTTCAGAACTTTGAAATGCCAAATCAGCTTAGCCACAACAGCAAAATGCCTTGGGCAGTTTTGGTGTATAATTGATGAGAAAGTTCAGTTGGTATAAAAAAAATGCACATGGGTGCAGTGTTTTTCCTTTCCCCCCAGAGATTTGGAAGGGGTGTGCTACTACTTTTATCCCATCTGCATGTGCATGGATGTCTTTCATAATGTCCTTTTTGTGAGTTTTAATCTCAGATTAAAGGACATGCGGGCGAGAACGTGCGCCTGTTTGTTTCAAGCAGATCCAGATCGTGATCAGTGATCCGACATTGGTTCATTGACATCCAAACCCACCTAATGGATAGCACGAATCCGCTTTGGGATCATTGATTGAGATCCAGATACATATAAAACAAACAGGCCCTAATTATAAAGGGTAATGCTCTCTTTGTGCCCCGTGGAAGAATATACATTGTTGTTCTGTCCTTCGGCATGTGCATGTCCGCGTACAAACAAGCCTTTCATGATGCACTCCCACAGGCAAGCTGACCATGATCATAGGCCAGGTCGGGGCGGGTAAGTCGTCCCTGCTCTCAGCCCTCCTCGGCGAGATGATCACGGTCTCCGGGGGAGTCCAGTGGAACCGGTAAGCTGTCTGTTCACGTTTGTCCCGTGTCAACAGTCTTTGCCTCAGGGCCCTGAGCTCAAAGTACCAGAGTGTGTCTAGCTGTAGCCAGTCAATAAGGAAAAGGGAGCAACATTTATAACACCTGTGCTTATGATATGATAAATTTTTGTGGAGCAGGGCCAAAGCTCAGGTTCTCAGCCTCCTGGAGAGAACAAAAGAATTCTGTTATGCCTAGTAACAATATTCTGTTTGGCCAAATCGCTACACATACATGCACATAACGTTACCTTTTTTGGCATGCACAGGGTACAGAGTTCATTGCTTGGTTACAATGCGGCAATAATGTCTTTTGAATTCCGGCCTAATCTGCCTTTATCAAAATGTCACTGCCGAAGGCTCTTGTATGGAGACAAAAACAGAATTCCTTGCTCGAGTCACCTCTCTCACCTGATAGCTGGCTACGTTGATGCGGAGTCGGGAATGTCTGATCTCCCACAATGAACATACATGTATAATTTACAATTTTTTCTGGTGTAGATTTATTCTCCTAGAGAGTTTTCTAGGAAAAGTCTTAAACCCATTCATTGATAAAGATAGGTCTTACCCCCTGGGGAATTTTAAAGGGAAAATAAAAGTCTAAGATCCATTCATTGAAGACTCTTTGTGTTTTTTTCCCTACCCTTTCTATTGAATGTACCCGCTGTAGCAAGTATTATTTAGCTCCCTCTACTTTCAGGTTTGTTGCCTAGCAACCGTCTGCCCACTTGAACTGCATTGGTCTTCAACCTTTTTCTACCTTCCCTGTTGATTTTACAATAGGAATTAAATTGCATTGTAGTGATTTGGGCTTAATAAATCACATTACAGTGACTCTGGTTATACTTAAAGACCGACTGCGTCTGCTAAATCATGTATAGTGACCAACATGTATAGTGGGCACGTATCATCCCCATTCATCAATGTGTGTTTTGAGAGTTGTTTAAAAACAGTAAAAGCCGACATTAGGGCTTTATATCAGTAGTCTGAGTATGGTACCTACCATCGGCTTCATTTTTGGTAAGTGATACTTATGAAACACTTTGCTTATGGTGGACGTCATGTTTGTTGATATCTAATACCCACTGTGAGTTATGTGACTTAGCGGGTGCAGTCGGTCAATTATGTGGACTTTTTGCCTGAGCCTGTCACTGCAAATTAGCCATTGGTTTGGGAGTAGAGTACACTGCAGTCTCCCCCTGTATATAGCATCCAAAAGTTGACATATATATTAAGTGAAGTGTCAAAAGCATGCAAGTATATCTGGTATATTCTAAACAATTCAAAGAGGGAAGGGTAAGGACCAACCTAAAATTGATGAGAATTAACCCTCCTAGGCTGAAGTCACTCTTTGGGTCACTTGGTAAACGCCTCAAATAAGCACAGCTGTGTCGTGTTATGCACTGCACCAACATGCAAGAGAGTGACCTTGGGCACTTGTGCGTATTTGTGCTGTAAAACTTAAGGAGGGTTAATATAATGAGAAGTTTTATCTGTTCGTTGTAATTACCTGCTACTGCTTGGTCAAGAATGTATTAGAGAAACAGTTCACTTCTTAATCCTGTGTTGTGCATTTTAACTACTTCGGGGAGATCTAGCCCATACAGGTCAGATTTTCTGTCTGTCCGTCTGTCTTTAATATGCTGTCTGTTGGTATACATGGTACCCGACTCATTCCTGTCCGTAGTTATGAGCTTAATGCACTGTGCATGTGCAGCATTGTAAGTTTTTCACATACATTTTTTTTACAAACTGATTCTAATGCCATGGCTGAAGCTCACCTGCTTCATATGTAAACTTGATCAAATCAGCTACATCTGTAGAACATCTACTTGTTCCGTTTCCAGTGCCCTTGATCATTTCCTTCCACATTTTGAACCCCAACTTTGATCCCTCTTGACCTCCAGTTTGGTCCATGTGGTAATGTTCGAGTAAGAGGTGGCGTTTAGGTGAAATGTGCCATCCGTAGATTGAGATCCATAGGCCTCATTGTCGGAGCACTCGTAGCCCACAGTATATTTCAATAATATTTTTGGTGACGTGTAGATTTTGTTCATGTGATATGTCAGGTTATTTAGAATTATGAAATACATGTACTACAGTTTCTATCATCATTTATACATTGCCAAATTTTGACAAGTTTCTTGAGTATTGATATAAATTTTCCCACCCTTCAAAAATGCAAGCAATTCCCAAGATCTTTTATATTCCCTTCTGCAGGAATTGCCGCTGTGTTGCATACGGGGCACAAAAACCGTGGCTGTTGAACGCAACACTCAAAGACAATGTACTCTTTGGTAACAGTTATGACAAGAAAAGGTTGGTAAAGGAGCAAATGTCACAGTGACACAATCCTGCCCATACATTTTGCTCCTGGAAGTTAACATCTTAAGTATCTGAATATCTAGAATACTAATTTAAGTCTGAAAGAGCCATATTTCTAATTCATGTTCCATTTCTCTTTTTTACTACCATCACACAGTTGGAGGGCAAATAGGGCAGAGATTTCAGCAAAAATCATTTTGGGCTGATCTGTCTCTTAAAAACGAGCACAGTATGTCTGATTTGCATGAAATTAGTGTCAAAATGGGAGACATTACTGGAAACATACTGACAGTTGGACGCGAAAATATTGCATCGTAATAATGTCGGTGAAATGTCAAAGGAACGGTGGAGAAAATGTATGGGCGTATTCAAAACCCCGTTCTCATGTTAGAACGGGGTTTCAAACGGGGAGAATCAACATGCGAACAAGATTCTCACACCCCACTTCCTGGAGAGTGGATGAAGAACATTAAGATCAGAGATGGTGGATATGTTATAGGCACATACTGTAATTTAACGTTGGTTCCAATGTTACATAAAATAAAAAACACTCGTGGCTATCGGAGAGAATTTACCCTGACTATTTAATGTAGATATTTGGGGATTTTATTTAATGTGAGATGGTAAATGTCATGTCATCTTTTCATTTGGTGTCAAAATGGCGACTGTGGCTGTCTTGACCTTCAGCTGCATTCCTTTTGCATTTCAATGTTCGTAATTAACAACCCAAGAACACTGTTCGTGAGTGTCATGAGAATGGGGTTTCGAATACGCCCTAGAAGTGTGACAGACGGATTCTGCACTTTTTAACCCTCATCATGATGAACCCAACAAGGTTATGCAGGATTTCAATGGTCCCTAGGGTGTTAGGGTTAAGGTTACTCTGACTACCTAGGATAAGCGATATTTATATATATTGCCAGTAAAATCCCAAATTTCTTTCCCTGAAATGTATTCTGCACAATACTGTATCTCACTTAATTTCTTTAATCCTTTGGTCTTGGTATGTATTGATTAGCAGCGCGATCGAAGTCAACCACCTCATCCAGTTTTAATAATCTTTCTCTGCCACTTTTATTCGTCACCAGCATCTCCTTCCAAGTCCAATAAGATGGGTGGTTTACAATCGAGCCACCAAGAGGTTGCCACAGAGATGCCTTGTTTTAAGTTTATGGTCCACAAAAATGGAGTCGGCTCACGGTGATTTGCATTGGAGCAAATGTCGGTGGAGAACTTGAAGACATTTTTGGATTGATTGGGATATTCCTTGCGTCTCAAAAAAAAATACCTCCTTGATTAATAGGGGCTTTCCACAATAGTGTTCCTCCAACACATGGCCTAGCCTATGTAGAAATTTAGATTGATGTTGGGGCATTTAAAACAAGCAATCTCTGTTTTAGAATCCACTGTTTTTTCTCAAAAGTACATGGACGCCGAATGGGGAAAAAAGCAGTATGTAACAAGCATCATTTACAATAAAAACAGATTTCGCGTATTGTGATTGGGCCAACGCGTTGCAAGCTCTTGGAGGCACACTATATTGTGAATCGCCCATATTAACATGATATTCAAAACCCTTTCAAATCCTCATCCCAGACAAACAAGCGCAGGAAACTATTCAAGTTCCCAGCACACAGCCCAACTAACGGGTAGCACTTTGTTGACCCGATATTCCCACAATGCACTGCGAAAATGGCCTCTCTGTGACAACATATCTGTGGCGCACTGCATTGTGAATCACCCGTATTTAGTAGGTGTTTTCTCTTTTGCCAGGTACAAGAAGGTGATATCGGCCTGCTCCCTTCAGCCGGACATCGACATCCTGCCCGCCGGAGATCAGACGGAGATCGGAGAGAAGGGAATCAATCTGAGTGGAGGGCAGAAGCAACGAGTCAGCGTAGCCAGGGCTATGTACAGTGAAAACAACATCGTGATTCTGGTAATTAGATATTCTGGATGCTCATTATCTTAGAGTTGAACAGGGTTTTTTATTTCAAAGAAACTGAAGCTTTTGCCAGTACCACCAGTGAGTTGCATTTTGAGCATAAAATGCATGCGAAATAGAATCCTCACATGTTGGGCCACAGGCACACCAATCTCCATATAAGGAGATTGTTTACCACTACTTGTGAGAGGCACATACCATAGCATGTCTGGAGGGATGTCTAAAAAAAAGATGAAATCAACATGTTCAACAAAGTCATTGGAGATTTGTAACTTTTAAATTAGTTTTGACTTTCAGACTCAAAAGTTATTTATGAATGCGTGGGAATAATTATGTGCTTTGTCAACTGGAAGATTAAGACCAGCTCTGGAGAATGGACGCTTGTAATGTTGCAGGCTTGGGACATTAGCATTGTCCTAGTTGAGGGTGGGACGTTTGTTTAATAGTTTAAACAAGAAAAGTTTCAAACCCGCTTACAGATTTCCCAAACACCCCTTTTAGAGATTTGATGTTTTGATTGATGCGATGGGACACTCGTTTTCATTGTAGACGATGCTGTTGTTTCCCATTTGACATCTATGTACTTTTTGAGAAAAAACAGTGGATTCTAAAATAATAAACATTGTTTGTTTTAAATGCATGCCCCAACATCAGTCTACATTTTTACAAAGGCTGGGCCATATGAACTATGTAATTATGCACATATGAAAAGACTGATGTACATGTAGATGGTGGGTTCCTCTAGTGCTGGCTAAACGTTTATATGGTATTTGAAAGTTTTTGTATTAAACGTTTTTGAAATTAAACATAAATTCCTACCCTTAGTCCCAGCTCAAGACTGGTGAAGCACGTATTCCATTATTAAAATGTTTCAGTTCTATCTAAACAGTGGCTCCAAAATGCACTGTGCACGGGAGGTGTGCTTAATGTTTAACAACGAACTGTCACAGAGATTTCTCCATCAAACAGTGAGTGTCCATCTGTCCATCCTTTTGTCCAGGATGATCCTCTCTCTGCCCTCGACGCGCATGTGGGCAGTCGCCTCTTCAAGAAAGGGATCGAAGGGTTCCTGATGAAAAAGAGCAAGCGTACGGTCATCCTGGTCACTCACCAGATTAAGTATGCTGAAAGAGCCGATCTGGTAGGAGTTACTCTCTTAGATTTGTGTACTGCAACAAACTATACTTCTGTCAATGCTGAGGAGTTAATCTCATTCTCATTTTTGGTTGTACTTTTTAAAGGGTATTTTGCTGCCTTATTTTGATACTGTTGTAAGTTCCCATATTCATGAGCAACATTGTCATGTCGTTCTCAGAAAGAAATCTCAATGTCTTATTTTGTTCATAAAATAGTGCTGGTTTTGTATTAAATACATGTATGTAACTGGCCTTGATTTTGTTTTCTTTAGTGATTCGTTTGTAAGTACATAGCATTCAGCCTCTGAGCAGTCTAAACACTTTTCAGGGACTAAATTCTTGCTTCACGTTGTCAACAGAAAAACCTACATGCACATTGATGCTCTGAACTCTGTCTTACTAGAATGACATCACGGCAAGAGTGCCCTTGGTTTTCTAGGAAGTCTCGGACCACTATGATTAAAAGGGAGCACTTTTCAATACACGTTATTAAAAAGACTGTTAAACAGTTTTCATACGTTAAAGAAGTCTAGAAAGTTGCCGAAAAAGTGTGTCTACCTAACCTGTATTCCTGCTGCCCTTTAAAGGCCTGAAAACTCAGAGTATTTATTGTCATTGATACGACACCACTGCTGGACGTGTCATTACGTCTTCATCCTCCCAATCTCACCCCTGATTTTCAAAATTGCCCTCACGTGCATGTGCATGGTCAGATTGTGTACATGAAGGACGGCCGGATCGAGAACCTCGGCAACCTGGAGGAGATACGGGAGGAGAACCCGGAGCTGGTGGCCACTTGGACCCAGGAGGGCTCTGGCGAGACCGGCCAGCCAGTGCAGTCGGACTCGGAGACCTCCGGCAACGAGTCAGCCAGCACGGTTGATGAGGAGAGAGCTAAGCTCATGCGTCAGGTCTCCGCCTTGAAACAGGTGGACAGGGGCGAGTCAAAGAGTAAGTTTTTGCATGCTGTGTGGGCGTGTGCATGGATCCATGCCCGTTTGTCTATATTTTTCTTTTTAAGAGATACCTTTAGCTTTTCCTGAGTTCTCTTTTTTGCCCTTAACTGGATACTGGAAAATGTATGTATGTTTTGATTTATGAGGTACCCCCTTTTGTAAATGCTGGGCACCCCTTCCCCCGTAAATGCTGGATCTGTCGAAAGTTGTCTGTGGCTATAGGCTGTCCATCATAAATTGTTTGCCACAGTACCAGAGATTTGAGTTCAGTAGTCGGAAGTGATTTTTTGACCAACCATGTTGAACTCAGAAAAATAACCAGAAATGTTAACCAAGACAAAAGAAAATCACTCATAAAAGTATTGTCCCTGTGAAGATTGTTCCAATTTCTCCATCTTTCCAGACTCAAACTTCACAGCGATGTCTCTTTTTGCAACAACCTGATTTTGTGGTGGTTTTTAAAATTTTAGATATTTTTTACTGTACATTCTTGAAATTTGTTGCTATGCCTGGAATTTCTGATAAACAATGCTACATGTAGACCCATCTCAAATCCCTAATTTTAGTGACTCTCCCCCTTGGGGGTTTTGTCTTTGAATCTAGACGCAGTGCAGGGGCGTCTTGTCCAGGATGAGGAGCGAGTGAAAGGCGCGGTGTCTTGGCGGGTGTACCTCACTTATGTCAAGGCCATCGGCCTAGTGGCTTTCTCGTTTCTCCTCTTCTTTGCCGTCTTCCAGCAAGCGCTCTTCATTGGGACCAACTTCTGGCTGGCCAACTGGTCGGAGGCTGGCCGAAACATCTCCAGCAAAACCTCTGTAAGATGGACAATTTGTTTTCTCATCTGGATAGTCTAGAGTTTCTGCTCCTTGAAAATGAGTCACAAGACACCAGATTCACTTTTGAGTTGTACTTTGTATTAGATTGAGGAGTTTGAGCTCTTTATTTGATGTGTAACTTGGTTTGGTGTGATGAAAATGGACGTTGTGTAGATCGTAAAATGTTGAAGATTTCTATTGCTTAAACACTGTGCAAAATTTCTTTAAAAGGCCTTCAACTCGAAAAGTGGCTCTGGCAACATGCAACTCAAATTGGCAGATTGGGTCGCATTCTGAATGGTTAAAAAATTCTCTGAGAAATTGGTATTTGTTTCCCAGGAGCAGCAAGATCGGATCTTGCATTACTATCTCAGTGGCTACGCTGGTTTGTCGGTCAGCAGTGTGGTTGCTGGAGCGGCCACCATCACCATCGTCTTCACGTTTACTCTCTTGGCCGGCCGTAGACTTCACAACCAGATGCTGGAGAATATCATGCATGCACCAATGAGGTTTGTCAACATATCAGAGTGGATATTCATGGGGAAATCAGAGCTGGAATTCCGTGGACCAGTCTGTTCTGTTTGCCAACATTCTGTTTCAGAACATCGTCACCAGAGTTGCAGTTAATTCAGTCAGTCATCACCCAAGTTATTCTGTCTCCAGCCAAATTCTTTTCAAATTGAACGAGGCGAAGGAAGTGTATTCCCTTTATTGTTGATCATTCTGTGTATACAACTGAAGGTGGGATTTTAGTTAGGCTGTGAAAATCATCACAAAATTTATTGGTGGTAAAGTCATTTTACTTGCCAAGATTTTTTCGCCTTACCACAGGTGTTGGGTTTAATAATGCAGCAACGGGTAATATGGCCATCATTGACAACGGAAGGTCCCCTAACAGTCTGACATGATTTGTGAAATAACTCCTGTCTTTTAAATCTGACTTGAGTTAATTCTCCATTACTGATATTTATATGTATATTTGTTTCCTGTGGCAGGTTTTTTGACACCACCCCAATTGGACGTATTATGAACCGATTCTCGTCGGACATCAAAACCATTGATCAGGTATGGACTTAAACTCACTCTCACCCTGAAAAAATCTGACCACTTTTGACAGCCATTGTACTGCCATTTTGTTGTGCACCCACATCAAGGTGTGTATCTCTCATTGGATGAAGTTGCTGCTGGTTTGTGCTCATTCTGCTGAAAAGTGGTTTGGGCACACTGTAACGTCAGTGTGCAGGGCAGAAGCAGTCTGAATGTTGTGCACAATGCCATCCTTCAGTTGACTCTGATGTGATAGGCTCCACTTTGCTGTGTAGAAGTTTTGCATGGTAGCCATCTTGCAGGGCAGTCCTTTTGTTCCACAGGGAAGCCTCTTTTGTGTGCTTATACTTAAAACAAAAGCACTTACCTGCATGATGGCAGCCAGGCAAACCCTCTGTTGAGTTCCAGCATCTTCTCCATTGCATTATGAACGCCAGTATCCAACTCAAGTCCATACCTCTATGATTTCTTTTCACAAGCTCCTAAACACTTGTTTTCCCTTCATTTTGCCCTTTTCCACTTTAATCTTAACTCAGGAGTTGAATAAAGAGTAGGAGATTTTCCTTAACTTTGTCACAATCTTAATTAGTAAAGGACGTACCATTCCGTGGGGCAGGGTAGAGGTAGATTAACTCTTGTCAGAAATAATTGTTTCACTGTTGAAGGCAAAGAGCCAACCTACCTTGCTTCATTCTCTCAACAGATTCTCGGCAACACCTTCAACAGTTTCCAGAAGTACTGGCTGACCTGCATTGGGGCCATTGTCGTGAACATTGCCGTTACCTGGTACTTTGCTGTGGCGCTGATCCCCTTTGTCATTTTGTACTTGCTGATCATGAAGTTTTTCATCCGGACATCCAGGCAAGTGTAGGGGTCATGGTGGCACTGGTGACATTGGTGGTTTTACAGGTGAAGTGTTGCAACTGAGTCCATCACAGTTCCATCGAATGGATTTTCTGTGTCGTTGTCCGCCCCGGTGTGACAGGGCTTGTGAGTTGAATTACGACGGGCAAGTGAATTGATGGGCTACAGTGCAATTCCACTTTATGAGCTAAGTTTTGAGCTTGCTTGAAATTAAAGCTGTTTGGCCTAGCTTGACCCAGTCCCAATCATCCGTTTTGAGGCACATTTGACCCTTTATCAAGTGGCCTATGAGAGATACTCTTTTTAAAAAACCATGTCTTCCATCTCCTTCCCATCCATACAAATATTCATGTGAGAAAGCAGACGAGTGCTGTGTACATGTAATCTTTTGTCTCTTTGTGTTTTTACAGGGAGCTGCAGCGTTTGTATAATATCAGCAAATCTCCTGTTTTTGCTCATTTCTCGGAGACCTTAGGAGGGCTGTCCACTATCAGGGCTTACAGGTATGAGTGACTACTAGAACGCTGCTATAACAAACACACAGCTATATCAAGTGCATGTAAACTGAACATGCCCCTTAGCTTCTAAATTTTCAGTGTAATTTTATCAAGCATTTGAAATTTACTTCAACCAAACGTATTTCGGATTGACGACAAGGACTCAAAAGTTACTCCTGAAGAAAAAATGCGGCATGGTTCATATCATTTTTGGATGCATGCACATGTGCTCAATTTGCATGGGTCCACAGGCACAAGGCCACAGGTGACTCTATCTTACGTGGAAATCTTGCTTCATATAATTGCTGCAAAGGCAAGACTTTTGGCCTTGAAAAAAGACATCAAAACAGAAAATAAGTATGCAAGTGGATCAGCTTTTGCGACTTATAATGCAGAGATCTTCATGATTTTGGTAGTTTGGATTGTTTTGAACAACACTTGCCGACGACTTGTGTACCATTTTGGCTCCAGCTCTATAGATTGGTGCCCAGCCCATCTGTTATTGTTCTGATTTAGCAGCAAAAACAGTGTAATTGCACACTATATTGCAGGCAATGTTTAAGCGATGGCTCAAGGAAATCTCATGGAAAACTTGATTGTATTTTGCAATTTAACTTCCATTGAGAACTACCCAAAAAGATGCAAAATAGAAAGAACTGAACATGAAGGTTTGGTCCAAAATCCTCATATATGCCGACACATGCGTGAGCAGGTGTCTACAGATTTGAATGGGCCAGAGCTGGGAACAGGTGCACTCTATGTGACTGATAATAGCTATACAGAACATTTTCTGTGGGCTCTGTCATTTTTGTTACAGCTGAGTTCTGTATGTATGCAAAACTTTCCAGTGTCAAATCTACATATAGCTGTCCAGGCCAAGCCCAATGCTTTCAGTTTGTCATCATTGTCTTGAGTTTGACCATTGAAAGTGTTTCTCTGTACCTCTAGGCAGCAGGAGCAGTTCCGCGAGGGTCTCATCAACAAGATGGAAACAAATAACACCATGTTCATATATGTGAACACCAGTAACAGGTGGCTGGGTGCCAGACTGGTAAGGCCATACTTGCTGATGGGCTGGGAGGGTATCAGAATATTGGCTTCCGAAGTCTCTTGCTTCAGCTAAGCCTCAATTTGATGAATTAAATCGCTTTATTTTAGACACCCACGTAAGACATCTCACTTGAAAAGTGACTTTGGCGATTCTACTTGTGCTAAACTGAACAAGCCCTTGGATCTGTCCATTGCTACGTCACACTACCATCACTGTGTTGCGGGCTGTCGATAAAGAATCAAAGTAACATCACAGTGTGTCAAACTTTGAAATTTCATGTTACCGTTACAACACTATAAGGGGGCATTTTGAGACCAAGCCTCCTACCTGAATCCAAAGACTCAACTTTCTGCAAAGTCTGGCAGGCTATACAAATAATACTCAAAATTGAGAGAAGGGTTTTTGACCATGGTGGTATCTTTTGCAAATTTTCTTGACGGTCGCCAAGTCTTGTGAATCAAACTACATCAAGCATAAAATCAGCATGCATAAATGAAGCAGGCATTCATTTTAAGATGGCCAAACAGATTGTTCTCAGATCCACTTGTTTGTAGTTTCCATGGAAGCATGTCAGTTACTACAGAAACTCTACCCAGTATTTATTCCCTTAGCGATTTGTTCATACAGGAAGTGATTGGAGGCATCATTGTGCTCATTGCCGGCTTATCAACAGTCATATCTGCAATGGACGGCCTACTGCTACCAAGCCTAGTGGGACTTGCACTTGCATATGCTCTCAATGTAAGTAAAATGGTCATGTGGAACCGCGGCTGGAGCAGCTTTATACTCTCTCAGAGAAAGAGAGAGAGAGAGAGTCACTCTGCATTTAACAGTTACTGTGAACCCCAGGATAACTGCATTTTTGTTTTTCTTTTGGGCCTCATATTTGATGTTCACTCATGGTTGTCCCAGTTGTTGCATTTACAAAATTAAGCAAAGATAACTTGGGACTTACTATGAGTATAAGGTATCCAAACACCTGCTAAACCTACTTGTAAAACCATAAGGTAAACCTTGAGTTACCGCATGTTTAATTTTGCATTCTCCTCTTCAATCTCTGTATTTTTGATGGATTATTTATTATAAATACATGTAGGAATGTTTTGGAGGAGTCACAGAAACTGCTTTCAGACTCTCGGACAAAACAGTTGTCAGTTACTCGTAGACTGGTGGGCATTGTGCATTTTGTTTTTGTTATCAGTGTGAAATTCACACATTTGCACATTAGACTTGTCTTTAGTTGTCTCTCGTGAGTTAGGCCACAAGGGGCACTCGTCACTGCCCCGCTAACTGCTTTAATGCCCCCCCTCCTCTTTGCTAGGCATCCAATCAATTGAACTGGATGATCAGGTCCTCAGCCAACATGGAGATGCAGCTGAATTCCATAGAGAGAGTGGACTATTACAAGAATGTAGAGACGGAAAAATACAAAGGTAATATGCCCTTAATTCTGGGATTGATACATTGTGGAGTCATGTTGACCTCGTGTGAGAACACACTTGGGTAAAGACAGAGTGAAAATACATGCATTTATGCTCAAGGGAAGCTGGAATTACTTAGACAAGGCACATCCACGTCGCCAAAGATTAAAAAAAGTCTAACATACTAGTTTCACATGGGACCGCTCACTTTAAACCAAGCAACAGGGTGTTGAACCTGAATGGTGGCTCAAAGATATCGAACTGAGATAGCATGCTCTGGCCAGACGGTGATCCGGTAAGGTGACGTCCATCAGGAATTGACCAGTATGGTCGAGAGCTGCCTTGTGCTCTGTCATGGTACTGAGCAGTTATCACTCATCCGTGTAATGGGCCTGAAAGGAAAGACAGCATGCAGTGTCGGTCATCCAAATTGCTAGCCCCATTAGAAAAGCCCCGTGACTTTATAATGTTGCTGTGTTCCTAATTAGTTTCAAAAAAGGTTTGGTTTCATGGAATAAGCCTTTGGCAAAGATATAGTTAAATAATATCTGGTACACTGAGTTCTTTAAATTTACGCAAACATAATAGTCATGGTGCATGGACTGGTTCCTTTGTGCCCTTCTTATCCATTGAAAATAGTGTATTGGTGCAAGGCGTCTCTCAAATATTAAAAAAGCAAATGCTTACCTCGAATCACGAGGCATAGCAACAGTGTCTTTAAGATGGAAAGCTTGCAGTAAACACCATGCAATATCTCTTTTTTGAGTCTGTGTGGTTCTGATAAGAACTGGAGAGGCTCAACGTTTCGGACAGTGTGCTCTGTCCGTCGTCAGGAGACTGAAGTCTCCTTCACCTTCAGTCTCCGTCAGGAGACGTCTCCTGACGACGGACAGAGCACACTGTCCGAAACGTTG